ACCACTCCCCCAAATGAGGGTTGCAGGGTTACTGCTGTGCAAAGGTAACATCAAAGAGAGAGGCACTGGAGAGAGAGATTTCGTACCCTGAGATAGTAAAACCCATCGGCAGGATAAAATATGTAAGCCCATGTGACGTGTGTACCAAAAAATAAAGACACAAATAATAGTAACAGTATTTTAGCAGTCTTTCCATTTTGAAGAAAAAATTAATACAGACAAAAAAGTGTTAAGACAGTAAAATATTTGCATAACAATGAACAAATCTGATCTAATACATTATACATACCCAGAGGGAAAACGTATTATTCCTAAAATTGTATAATGTATTAAGCTATAAAGAAAGTCAATAAACTCCCCAAAATAGAAGCTATCTAGCCAAAATAGCTGATTGTCATGCAATAAAAGTTGAAATAAAAAACAAAGCAGGGCTCACTTGGCGGCAGTGATTTCAAAACTGAGCGCTACACAGAAGATTAAGCTGCCCCTGTGCCAGATGTCAGTCAAGTCCAGGGGTCACCTCACACCCCCCAACACACCCACCCTCACAGGAACCCAAACAGAAGACCCTGCCACCCTTCTAATCCATGACCTTAGAAACACCTCTTTGTTTAAAAGGAAACACTTCGAATAATTATTTAAAGATAGAATGAGCCCATAAGAAATGTTCAGCAATTCGGTGAGGTGCGCACACACACACACAAGTCCGAGACAGGAGCATCCCAGAACGACGCCAGTGAGAGAGCATTCGAGAGGTATCTACGGTCACCAACCTCATCTGTAATCGCAACACAACCTCAACTTTGAAATTCTAATGGGATTTTCATAGCTTAATAAATTAATTGCAAAGGTCATATACAAACTGAAAAGCAGAGAAAGAGCCAGGGCAATTCTGAAAAAGAATAAAGAGGAACAAACTCAGCCTATTACAGACGGAAACAGAGATGGAAGCAAGAAGACAGCAAATAATACCCAGTCAATTCTTGGAAATAATTGTCAAGCTACATATCTACGCCCAGTGAAAATATCTTTCACAAACAAAATCACATACAAACAACCACAGAAACCCAGAATTTCCTGCCAGGAGATTCTCTCTAACCTGAGTGGTGAGTATATCATAGATAATTGTTTCACTACTGTTGGGCTAATAGCATGTATACATCTAATGCCCTTAGGTATTTATAACGAATTTCACCAAAACATTAAAAGTAGAAAAAGACAGACCATACAAATACTAGGTTGACGACCCCTAGCTGTATCCGTGCATGACCTTTCACATGTGTTCAGTGTCTGGGAGTCACAGAGGAAGGCTGTTACTTGGTCAGAATAGAGAGGAAGAAGAGGTTAAAATAATTTTACCTTTTCAGCCAGAGAAATTTGGAGGTAGAAAAAGGAAAATAAGAAGGACAGTGCATTTCCCAGGGAAGACAGGTGTGTTCGGAAGGGAGAGTGAGGCCAAACGTGTCGTCCCGGAGAGGACCATCTCCGCAGCTGCCCCGGCACCGGTGCTGGCCGTGCTCCGTTCGCGCGCCACGCTCTGCGGTCGCAAAGGCCCTGTGGCCTGGCTTTCCCAAAGGCCCCATTCTACATGCTGTGAACCTGTGGCTAGTGGAAACCAGACGGCCTTCAAGGGGGCAGAACAAAGACTACGCCCAAGACTCAGAGATATGCAGGCAGAGAGGACTGAGGGGTGGCCTGGGAAGAGCAGATCGCAAGCTCACCAGCCACTCCTCAAAGTGGTGGCGCAGAGAGCACGTAAGTGAACAGGTGAACCAGGACACAGGCCGGGAATCAGACAAGGGAGAGGGCACTGGTACCAAGATCCAACTCGTGCTCCTGACGTGGGATCACGCAGCCACGCTCTTCCACACACTGACGCCACAGTGAGGAGAGGAGCAAGTGGCCGGGGACTAAGAACTGTTTCTCAAAAGAGGCCGTGTACTAACTAGAGACACTTTTTAGATTGTTGGATCACATTAAGGTTTAGAACGATGAAGGAGGCCGAATCAGCTATGGACAGACAGCCACGCAGCCTCCGCACACCCTAATTACGCTGTGAGTGAATGTACCACCACAAGAACTCCAAATGGTGGGAAGAAAACACCAGTGAGAATCAGGCCCACGCGTGTGTGAGCTACATGCTGAGTGCCTGTGCATCCTCTCTGTCTCCTCGTGCCCTCACACACAGAGCTACTATCACCTCCCATGCCGGGAAAGAGAAAATGAAGGCAATGGAAGTTTTGTCTTCTAAGAAAGGTACGATGTTTTTGGATTATTTCTCTAGCTTAAAACTTAACTTACTGATATACTGGGGGGAAAATGATTTATTCTAAATGAGTAACTAGTTTGTTCATTTCCTTGATTTTCTGTTGCAAAGCAAACGAGATTTTTCTTCACATGGTTGTAACAAGAGGGTAAATACTTCTGCTTCTGTTTACAGCAGGTTCGCAAGGACAAGGGAAGGGGAGGAACGGACCGGCTAGGAATCGTCTGCCACTTCCCACACTGCCATCGGCTCTCAGAGGCGGCTGCTACTGCCCCCACCTCAACGCTCCACACCCTCTGGCCAAGGGCTCCACTTAGTACTTCACTGAACAAGGGACGTCTTTATGTTTCTGCTAATTGAACATTTCATTTTTTTCCTTCAATTGCCTAAGTAGCATATTTTTCCGAGTTGTATACTAATTTGGAATTTGTGAAGCCACTCTTGCTTGTATACATCCAATACATGATGATTAATATAAGATCCTTCATGAAACTCCTTTTCATACTTTCCATGAATTAAATGAAAATGAACCATTACCTTCTATGTATTTATATACATGGGCTCACGTACAGAACTTGTATAATTTTCATGCTTTTAAAGCCATGGAGTCTCACAAACAGAAACAGATGGACTCAAAATTTCTTTTAAATTAACTTTTTGACCTAATTCTTTATATAGGGTTAAATATACTTCACACAACTCCCACAAAAATCAGCACCAGCTTCTCCAGATGAATCAAACAGCAAACTACCGAAAAAATTAGTATTAATTAAAACAAACTGCATTATTTCTCTAGCAATGCACACAAAAATACTAATTTCTGGAATGCATTTAACTAGCACCATTTGCTTTGACCTTTAAAAGAATCACACACTTTCATGATTTGGATTCTAAGATAATAAAAGAGAGAAAATCAAACACCTAACAGCTCTTTGTGTGAAGGCTCAAGAAACATTAAAAATTTCCAGGCCAAATTAAAATAAAAACGCAAAACACTAAACCTTTCTTTGGGGCAACTACCTATTATATTTAACAGGCTTAAAACAAAATGTGTCAAAGATCAAGAGTAAGTTATCTGGTATGTCAAATGCATAAGGTCAAAGGTACAGTTTTATTAGGTCAGAGGTGGTATAAATAAAATCTTGTGTGCCAGAGATGGGTCACAGACCTTACGTATATAATATAAAGACATCACAGATGACAAGTAATAACTTTAAGTAGAACAAGTGTGTTTACGATAGATACCTTCACTGATTAAAAATGAAATTTCCACATGAGAAATAAAACACTGCCTTCCTATACCACATAACTCCTGTGCTGTACTACACATTTGTGTTTGGGAAGAAGGGGTTATAACTAAAGTCACCACAGTCCTGCACGGCTTAGTGACAGCAATTCTGGATTTCTGAGAAGTGCGAGAGTGGATTTCAGGGTTGTGCGAACGTGACAGAGGCACTTACACGCACCCAGATGCTGCGGCCTACCCATCACGCACCTGGGCTGTGTGGCGTGGCCTACTGCCCCTGGGCCACAGTCTGCACGGCCTGTCACTGCACTGAAGGCTGTGGGCAACTGCAACCCAATGGCAAGGACTTCTGCACCTAAACATGGGAAGGTGCAGTACAACGGGACACCTGGGGAGGGCACGCACGGCGACTGGGCTCGCAGGACTGGAACTGTCTGGGGGAGGCAGTGAGTGGGGAGTGAATGCAAAGGCCAAGGCCGGGACGGCACACACCTGTAGACTTGATCAAACACTGCACACCTGGCCTACACTAAATCTGTTTTTAAAATTATCTGTCTTCGATAATTCAATTACCTTAGCTTTCCGTAATTTTTGTACTTTATAAACCTTAAAATTTTTAGCTTTTCAACTCTTTTGTACTAACACTTAGCTTAAAACACAAACCCACGCCCTGAGAGGCTGGCTCGGCCAGTTGGAGCATCATCCCATATACCAGAAAGTTGTAGGTTCGACCCTCGGTCGGGGTGCACATGGGAGGCAACCAATCGATGTTTTCCTCTTTCACATCCATGTTTCTCCCTCTCTCTCTCCAATCAGTAAACATATCCTTGGGCGAGGATTAAAAAAGGGTGGGGAGTGCGTTAAATATCATCCGCACCTACACTCAGTAAGGCTCTCAGAGGACCACAATAACCTTTCCCGGGCTTCTTGGGAGATGCTCAACAAACATGGGTTTTTTTCATCTTTGGGTAGTTTTAGAAATTTGTTATTACAAGTAAAACCACTAAGTTCATAGATTAGTGATGCCATCCATATCTCAAAGACATCTGGATAAAAAAATTTACAAAAGCACTTATACAAGTCTAAATTCCATTGAAATAATAATTATAAATTGATAAATGATGTATTTCCAAAAATTTCTAAATCATATACTACCATTAACTTAGTACATTATCATATATACTATCATATAAAATAGCATATTATTTTATATGAAATTTATATTGTCAACTGTTGGCCAAGAATGGTAGAGAATCACTAATAATTCTTTCTTTATATTACTAAAGTATAAAAATGCCATAACCTGTTTTATACTGAAGTGACATAAAAAGCAGTATTTAGTTCTCACTTCTATGTCTCTTGTTAATATGTGCACTAAAAGAACAACACATCTGTATACTAGTACAGTTACTGAGTGTTCCATAGTCGTCAGTAGCCACAGAAACACCCCCCACACACAGAACCCCCGGTGGGGAGAGGAGAGCTCACCACTTCCTCGTCGGACAGCTCCCGCCCTTGGATGCTGCTGCTCTCTCTCACCGCCTGCTGGTGCTTCCTTCCTTTAATGTGGCTGAACAGGTACACCTCTGAAGAGATCTGAAAGCACACGCCCAAAGCCAGGAGATCAACACTGAATTACAACTCATTTTCAACGCTGCCCATTCAACCCATTACATTATAAGCAGGCTGACATCACTGCAGTATTTGTGTGTTAGGCTTACAAACGTTTTCTTTAGGATGGAATTCTGAGAATCCTCTGGGTACACATGGTCCAAAAAGGGCCATTACAGCCAACCTTCATGGGACGTCACTTCCTCTAAGTATCAAGGTTCAGGCTTCGGCACTGAAAACACTCCTTTCCTCTTTTTGGTTCCAATACTGAAAAGCACTGCCTCGGGCCATCACTAAGCAGGCACACTTCCATCCCAGTGGCAGCTGCGTAATTCGGAACTTTGTGGTTCTACTCCTAAATGCTGATATTATTTTTGTACTGCTTACTTTGCATATAAAAAAACCCAACAGAATTCATGGTACTCGGCAGATGCCTTGACCCGAGTATTAAAAATCAAGGAGAGTGCATTTTCGCAGTCCAATAAACTGCAGCCGTAAACCGTAATGCATCTCCGCCGTGCTGAGAAGGACCACCCACCAGGACGCCGCACAGAGAACACTGCTTCTTCCTCTCGTAAGGGGTCAGCTTGGGGGCGTAATCGGGGTTTGCGTGCCGTCCACTGCTCAACTCAGCAGCTTTTTCTTTTCTCTGTTCCATCTGCTCCATGTGTCTTCGGATGCTTTCATCGTGCTGCAGATGAAGTCAGAGTGTGACGATATACCACGTTATCCAATGTATACTGATAACTTGAAAAAGTATTTCTATAAAATAATAGGACAGCTTAATTCAACGTTAACCTGAACAGGAGGACAATTCGCATAAAGCCCTTAAACCTCCCCCGCACATACAGCGACGTTTCCGACAGCGGCTCCAGGGAGGCGCACCCTGGGGCGTTAATTAGTGCTTCTGGAAGAGGTTCCACAGTCAAGTAAACGTGGGAAATAGTAAGCGAGAGCTAGAAAGGCTTTTAAAATGTAACTTTATAAAGCCTGTAGCGTGTCACTGTGCATCAGCCAAGACCCAGTCAACGGAGCTCCCACGAAGCAACCCTCCGCCCACGCATTACGCACGGCGCGCCTTTGGGGAGCAGTTCCCGACCGGCTGCAGGAAACGCCGACCCAGGGGTGAGGGCCCAGCGCATCTTCACAGCAGAGAAGGCCTGTCAGGCCAAGGACCTCTTCCCCACGCCCACTGCGCTTCTAGCTGTCTGTACCTCCGGTGACTTCCCCGAGGAAAAAAACATACACACTAAGAAACACCACCTTGGACCTGTCTCCACGCTCACGTTTTATACGGCTGCAATGGCATCCCACCCAGGGACCCGTTTCCCTATACATGTAACTCGTCTTTTACAATTCAGCTCAGGAATCATTCCCTCAAATCACTTCCCCGACACCTTCCATGAAGACTAAGTGCCCCCTGTACTTCCACAGCGCTCTGTGTAAACAAGCCTTCATCCCCGTGGACATTTTCTGCTGGAACCGCCCACTGGAGCTGAGTGCCCTGAAATTTGGAATCATGTCTTACTCACGTCTGTCCCCAGGCCTACCACACGCTCGGTAAACATTCCCTGTATTAAACTTAAAGGCAGGACAAAGCCCTCGGGCCGCACGACCAGCAAGGCTGGTGCGCTGCCGCACGGAACCCACTCCCTCTGTGAGGAGGCACCGCACAAACAGCTGGGACAGAATGTGAAGTGTTCACACTGCCAGACACTGCAGTGCTCGTGGTGAAGACCTTCTACAAATGCCAGCTTGTCACAACCTCCCAAGCTACAAATGCACAAATCACTGCTCAGTAAAAACAAGAAAGGTTAAAGTGTGTTTAATATTTTCCCTCAATTGCTTCGTCTTGTTAAAACAAATTTCGTTTTCAGAGAGTTGAAGTAGCCCATACGATGGTGGGCAAGTCCTATGTCTTGTTACCCAAAGATTACGAGGACACACTTGTTCAGTGAGCAAGACTCCCTCTGCTGCACCACCAACAGTGCTACCGCGTCACAGCGTCACACGCGAGTCCCCACCTTTAGCTGGATTTTCTTCTGCAGCTCCTCCACGGCCTCCTGCTGGGCGGCTGTGAGCGCGGCCAGCCGCTCCTCCCGGTCTCTGTGAGAACACGGAGGAGGAACAAACCTCGTGGTTAAAATTCAGTTAGGATTCACAGGCCTGTGTATGCTAAAGAGTTGTTATTTTTTAGTATTAATTTTGTCAGTGACTGTTAAGTCCCAGATGAGCTGCTCACTGAGTGTTTGGAAAGCAGCAAAGATTACTGGTTATGAAGTAGGTCTCTGGACCCGGGCAGGGGTTTACACACTAGCTCTAGGACACTGTCACTTAAACATGCCAGTAAAACCACAAGAGAAGAGCAGAGAAGGCACGAGCTCACAAGCAGAAGAGGAAACCATCACAGACACATTAGGAGACACACAGGGAGCGATGGCCGGGTTCCCATCGAAACTCTCTGAGTGAGGTCACTGTGGGACTGAGCAGACAAAGGCTACAAAACAGCTGTTAGAAACATGTTCAAATAATGAAAAGTGCACCAAAATAAAGAAAAATATTAAGACAGCGATTTAACAAATTGGGAATCTCAGCAGAGAAAGAAAAACATTTTACAAAAGTGTTCCAACAGAAGGGATGAGACACCCTTGGACAAAGTCGATTCTGGGGAGCGGCGCAGAGGACAGGATGGGTCTGCAGCGTCCTGCGCTGCCGGAGAGGAAGGAGGTCTGGGAAACAGCCGTGGTGCGTCCAAGACACACAGGCCACGCAAAGGACTCCCCAGGTCCAAAGTGGGAACAAGCTGAGCAAAAAAATGAGTGACATAACACTGGTTTACAACCCAAAGGATAAAAAACACATCCATGGGTTCACAGTGATGCAAAGCCAATCAGTGAATCAGTGGGATTCATTGCAAATAAGTTACAGGGGGATTCTTCTATCCCCCGGGGGGAGGGGGCGCTGTGCATGGTGGCTTAGCACAGCAAGAGGAGCACAGCACAGCAAGGGGGGTCTTCACAGTAACTCACACGGTGAAGAACCCCAACACACACTGTCTTCCCCAGGGATCGAAGTGAACGAATCAGTGGTCTGGTCCAGCCAAGAGCATGAACTTCTGACAAGTCAGGAACACAAGCTCACATCTACCCCTGTGGTCCTCCAGTCGGAGTCAGTGACCCTGATCTAACCATGAGAAAGCATCCGTTGACTCCTAGCTGGGGAACGCTCCACCAAACACCTGACCACTCCTCCACACAGTCAAGGGCATCTAAACCACGGAAAAGCCGAGGCGCTAAGGGAGCTCAGAGGAGCCTTGAGAGAAATGCCAATGAAAGACCCAGAGAAAGAACAGCCACACACTCCCCAAATCTGATGGAAAACAGTCATGTAAAGAGTCGGACAACCATGAAGAGAACCTACCAAGGCAAATCACAGTCACACAGAAACATGAAAGGGCCAAGACAGTCCTGATAAAGAGGAAAGGGAGCGATAGCATTAAACACCAAGAATCACTACAGAGCTTTGATAAGTAAAGCAGAGAGTAAAAAAAAAGTGACCCCTGGCCCGGGAGACAGAGCCCACAAACAGACCCAGGTACCCATAAAATCTTGGTTTATGTCAGAAAACTTAGTAGGTCAGTAGGAAAAAGCTGATTTTTCAATAATACACGTTAGGGTATTCATATGAAAATGCATGGAATTATATTTCTATCTCAAACCACACAATAAAATAAATTCTTAGTAGGTAAGCACTGTACTATTAAAGAAAAACTACGACATTTTAAAGAGTGTCTTATGACTCAGAACAAAAAAAATTTCATAAACAAGATTAGCAAGCACAAATCACAGCTTTTCAGTTTTACTACACTGCAATCAAGGATTATATTAATCAAAAGACATCACAATAAGAGTGAAAGGCAAGCCACAACCTACCAAATTCATGTGCAGTATGTGTAGCTGGTGAGGAAGCAGTATCTACTAAAGGTAATTCCTAAACATCAATAAAATAGATCCCAATAAAGAAATAGGCAACAACTTAAACAGGCATTATATATTTTTAAAAACTGAGTAGTTGGTAAGTATGCAAAAACTGCTCAGCCTTACCTTTAATCTTGGATAGTAAATTTTTTCATCCACCAAATTGGCCACAATTAAAAGGTCAGGAAAAAAACCACATGTCAGCAAGGTGCGCACCAAAAGGGACTTAGGTTTCGCCAACGAAATGCTTTTTCCTGGCCCTTTGCATTTTAAACAAGTGATTTTTAAACTGCAGGGATGGCCAAAGGTCATTTATCGTAATCAGAGTGATAACATGCCAACCAGACTGTTTCCACCCAAAGACCATGGCTGAGCCTCTGTGGCCTGCCATTCAATGCCTGACCACTTCCAAGGCGAGTCCTCAGACCTCTGATCACTTATTCTCCCAGCGTGTTCCTAAAACTTCCCTTTGCTTAATGAAGCCAGAATCAAACTCTCTTGCAACCAAAAAAAATCTGAAAATATCAAGTTTCCCATCTAACAGAAATGTTCAAAAGGTTTCATTTTAATATGATGCCATAATGCCTATAAATCAAAATTATTTACATTTCTGTATTGGGACTATTTCTAAAAAAAAAAATCTACATGACAGCAACTGGCTTCATTTGATGACCTGATGTGAATATTCACACACTGCAAAACGTTCGTCAGGATCAGGCGGCAGGTGAGGTACCTGGCTCTCTCCCTGGCTGCATCCTCACGGGCTTTTTCCTTTTCCTGCCTCTGCTGTTCGATCCGCGCTTCTTGCTCCTTCCTCTTCATTAGCAATTCCTCCACACGGGCCTGCCGTTCTGCCTCCAGCGCTCTCTTTCTTTCCTAACACAGAGGTGTGTGGTAAGATGTTAAACTCACGTGTGAAGGGATTAAAGGTGACACAGCTGTGACACACACGGATAATCAAACGTCGGTGATACCTGGTTTTCTTGTCACTGACCAGTGTTACACATAGTGATCAGAATAAAAAGCTACTTTCAGCAGATACTATGCTACTCATATTCTCTGAGAACCTAATAATGTTTCCTGGTTAAATCACTTCTAAAGCCTCGTGCTCAGAAATGGTTGTAGAAACACCTGAACATCACGAACAAGGCGCAGCGGACAGATTTCGAGTCTGAGGGAAGCTTCCAGAAAGGAACTACTGAAGACCAGCTTGTGGTGCGGAGATGAGGTGCTGGGAGTCAGTACGTTTCAGTGAGTGGGTGCCGGCTCGGACGCCCTAATTGTGTTTCCAGACCCCACTGTGTACCAGCTGGGGGACTCTGATCTAGTCACATTGTATCTGTGCTGAAACACCAGTAATAATTGTACTTATCATCATCATCATCAAGGTGGAAAAGGCTTCATCGACACAGGGTGAGCTTCACTGTGGAACACTGTGCCCCCCAGGACATTCCTGCCCGGTGGGGTACTTCTGCTAATTCCCGCCGTATTACTGGCTGCACTGATGCATTTCTTTCAGTTCACCCCCACTCCCCAGGCAGTGCACAAAATCTCTCCTGCCTCCTGTTTACCAGTAACAAAATATGTTTCATAAATCTATACAACTACAAATAAAGATAACCCTATGGCGAAAGAATTAGAAAAGTATCTCCCAACTCTTAAGGCTTCTGAAACCGCTTGGACACCCCCCACCTCCCCGCAACTCCCCAGGTATTTTGCCTCACAGTCAGGAACGTGTTCACAGCATCCTCCCCCCCTCACACCCGGGATACAGCAGGTGCTCAGTACACGCTTCCCACATGAAAATCCTACCTGGACGGCTTCGTCACGCGCCTGCTTCTCCTCCTGCCTCCGCTGACGTTCTTCCTGCAACTCATTCAGCCTCTGCTCATATTCCTTCAGTTTTGATAACACATCATGACGTTTATTCTGGGCTTCCAGGGTATTTATGAAGGCGATTTCATTTACCTTCAACAAAAACAGGGGAAGTGAATTTCAAATCAAGTTAATTCTCGGGCATATCACAAAAATAAACGTAGTAGTCTTTATATTGTAACATAAACAAGTGGTGAGGCATAAAACAAAAACTTACTGACTTATGAGTCTTTTCTTTCAATATTTACCTCAAAAATGGATAACAACCCACTGGATATAATAAGTCCATTGGCCTCGGTAACAACTGATTAAAAAAGTCTGCCATAGAAAATATTTTTAGTTCAAGAAACAAATGAAGGGGCGTGAAGCCCACGTTATAAAGTTTCTACGTAACGTCGCAGTGACCTGCAGCCACCCAAATGACACTAAGGTTCAGGCACATACACGCCATTCTAGTGAGTGTGGACAAACCCTAAATAACAATTACTCTCCCCTGCACATTCCGGCTGACAACCGGGTACAGGTACGGAGCCACAGGCACTGCAGCCTCCCCTTCACGCACAGCAGTTCTCAGGAGCCCATGCTGCCAGAGAGGAGTCTGTGTGGGCCAAGTGTAGCTTATGATGAAGCTGAGAAGAGCCAGCGGGGTCGACTTCTGCATTCTTTAAAGCCACAAAAGTGCGGTGAAGTGGCGGAGGGAAACCGGGCAGGAATGCCCAGGCTCGCGCTCTGTGACGGGAGCAGAGGCTGCAGGAACCTCACCGCGTGGGTCACTAGGACCCTCAGACACAGACCCACATGTACAGGGCCGGCGGCCTCACAGCAACAGGACTAAGGCCACTGAACACACGAAAGTACTTGGAACAACTGGTACTGGTACACAAGTTCTCCACAGGAAAAAAAATTACTCTCAGCCCTAACTCATACCATATACAAAATTAACTCAAAATGGAACACAGACCTCACTATAAAATTAACAATTTCTATAAAAAAGACAAAATCTTAGTGATTTTAAGTTTAGGTAGAGGTGTTTTAAAAAGATTTTATTTATTTATTTCTAGAGAGAAGGGAAGAGAGGGAGAGAGAGAAACACCAATGTGTGGTTGCCTCATGAGCACCCCCTCCCAGGGATCTGGCCCAGAACCAAGGCATGTGCCTTGACTGGGAATCAAACTGGTGACCCTCTCTGCTTTGCAGGCCCATGCTCAATCCACTGAGCCACACCAACCAGGGCAAGGTAAAGATTTTTTTTTAATAGGGCACAAAACTCACCAAGTATGGAAGAAAACAGTCAATATATTAAACTTTATCAACTTGGAAAACTTTAGAACAATGTGTTTAAAACACATTGTAAGGAAAATAGAAAAACAATCCACAGACTGAGAGAACACACTTGCAAGACACAGATCTAATGACCTAACATGAAATCCTCTAAGAAATCCTGACATTTGCAACGAGGATGAACCTGAAAGGCACTATGCTGAGTCAACAAAGCCAGACAGAGAAAGAGAAATATTGCATGGCACCACTTATACTTGACACAAACAAACAAACAGAGTCAAGCTCATGGAAACAAGGAGTAAAAAGGCTGCTGCCAGGGGCTGGGGGCAAGGCACGCGGAGGAGTTGTGAGAGGGCACAGGCTCTCAGTGACACAAGGCTGAGTGTGCGGCGTGGTTGCTGACACTGTTGTGCAAGTGCAATGTGCTCTCACACGCAAAACACAAATGGGTGAGGTGATGGATACGTTCATTTAACTTGCCCGGGAAAGCCCTTCACCGTGTACAGTAGAGCACATCACCGTGTTGTACGCTTTAAATACCTCGGCATTTTATCTGCTCATTATACTTCAATAGAGTTGAGAAAAAGAACACAGTAATAATAAACCAATCTACCTTGAAAAAAATGAACAAGATGAATAAATATTTCACCAAATAAGATATGCAGATAGAAAACAAGTACACAAAAATATGTTCAAAATGGAAAATTAAAACCACACGACACAGTATACACACACGCACTACTGAGAATGGCTAATATTACAACGTGTGACCATGTCACATGTCAGTGAGAACATGGCTCACTGCAACTCACATGCCCTGCCGGCCACGCCAGCCGAAGATGTAACACTATAACCACTTTGGAAAACTTTTTCTTTAACAGTTAAAGATGAACCTATCATAAGACCCTACCAATCCACTGTCAGGTATTTACTCAAGGAAATAAAGGCACACATCTGCACAAAGATTAGAATGTGAATGTTCACTGCGAAACCCGGAAAGAAAAACAAATGTCCATCAACAGGTGACTGAACTAACAAATTATGCTATTTCTGTTTAGTGGTATGGAGTTCTCGGCAATGAAAAGTAACCGATATACCATCAGAAGGGATGAAATCAAAATAACTATGCTGAGTGAAAGACGCCAGAGAAGGAGCACATACTGTGTGATCCCATTCACATAAAATGCTAGAAAATGTTAACATCCACAGTGACGAAAAGCAGATCAGAAACGGCAGTAGTGGTTGGAGGGAGGAACGAAGTACAAGGCAGCACGGAGACACTGTTGAGGGTGAGGGGATTGTTTAAAATCTTCACGGTACTGATAGCTGCAGGAATATATACATGTCGAAACTCATCAATCTGATGCTTTACACACGTGCTATCCACTGTCTATCACTCATACCTCAATAACACCGTAAAATACACCTATGTATCTCACAGGATCACTGTGAGACACTGCACCTAATAAGCTGTATGTGAGCCTGTGAAAGTGCTCTGTTACTGTGGCACAAAATAAACTTCATGTAAACATTAACTTCTCATGCAACAACGGGAAAGGGACGTGGGCAGCTAATTTAATGCTCAAAGCACCAGAGACACCTACCTTGGCTTCTTCCTCTTGGGCTTTTTTGACAATTGCTTGCAACTGCACCTCTCGCTTAAATTCAGCATGAAGCAATTTCTCTTCCATCATCCTACGTCGCTGGTCTAGCAATTCTTCCTTCCACTTGCGGACATCTTTCTCCTGCACACAGTGAATGACAGCGTCGTTACTGTCGGCGCACCTGGTCATCTCACAGACGTGCACAGTGACAAACAGCTTGGGGCCGGCCGAGTCTAGGGCTTGGGCAAAGATGGAGGAGCATGACCGGCGACTCAGAACACACTGCAGGGGCAGCCTGCCCGGCGCCACTGCCCACTGGGTCACTTGCTGGCCCAGCAAAATGAAACTTTTTAAGCCCACACCTGCCTGTCCTCGTCTCGATGGACAGAGTGGCAGTGGCAGCTAACTCACTGGCTTGTTTTGCAGGCTGAGTCACTAACTGCACAGCACTTCGACCACTGCAGTAGACGTGGCTCAACAGCAGTGTTTGCTGTCCTTGTCACACTGCACTACGAAGACACGCAAAACGCAAAGAGGGTGTGTGTGTGAGCCCTACAGACCCAATGTCTCTAGTAACCCAAGGAAGACCACTAAGTAGTTTTATCCTGAGGTTAGAAAATGGTGAGAAGTCTAAAAATTACATGTATTTGCCTAAGAAACATTCTCTGAGGGAAAGAGGATTTTGCCTACAGAGGAACAAAAGGTAGATATAATAGTTGCCCTTAGTTCCTTAAAACATCAAACAGAAGTAAAAGACAAGTGGTGTGCTTGTCTTTTGTGTGATTCAAGGAATCAGATCCAGCACCGATGAGAATAGATGACAGGGAATCAGATGTTTGACTCAACGTGAGTAGGAAAGAAACTAACATTTCAGCTGCATAATTATGTGTTTAACCACCTAAAAAAGAATGGCACAGGGACAGCATGGATTAGAAGCTAGAGGACGGAGCCTCGGGGCCCCAGCTGAGGCGGCGAGGCTGGGGACCCCGTCACTCAGCAAAGGCGACGGCGCCTTGCTCCCGAGGGGCAGCACCGCTTCCGGCCAGAGCCCGCATGCTCTGCAGTTCTCTGAGCCGCTCTCAGACCAGAGGAAAGTGTCCGTTTCAAGCTGCCGTACTTTCCTAAATATTAGACACTCACCCTTTCTAACAATTTCTGAAGCTTTAGCGTTTTCTCTTCACGTAACTTTTCCCTCAGCTGCTGTGCTTTCATTTGTTTTTCTTCATGTTTCTTCTTAGATTCTGCAATTGTTCTATTAATACAAGTAAATAAACAGGCCACAGTATGTTTACATGATAAAACCAAAAATAATTTATTCAGTCCCCAGAGTTCTAAAAATAAATATACAAAGTACACAAAACTAATTTTGGTCTAACGTTTTAGGAAAACATTGTCACTTTTCAATGGATCTGAGCTGTCCTGAGTAATGTGCCTTAAAACACTGCGTAGCTACTCTGTTTAACAGTCAGGAGTGGCTTGCTCCCCTCCTGTGGAATATTTCAAACTGCTTTTTGCAGGCCAGACCTTTTGCGGGATGGGGAGGAAAGCTTTTCGTGCATGTGAATGCCATGTCCTGGAGGTCTGGCAGGCTCCTCCTCTACAATGTCCCCCCAGGATGTGTTCTGGCGCCACGATTCACGAGCTGTTCATTAAGAAGAAAACCACAGTTACTGTTCAACCCCACAGTTCTATAAAACTAACAACTGAGAACAGGCTTTCAAAAGGCAACAGCATTCCCACTGTAAATTATTTACTTTACATAGAAATTCATATAACAAGATCACCTATTTATATCCCTTCACCTGTACACACACACACACACACACACACAATACCTTCATAATCCGCAAGGACATCATTCCAGTCCATAGACATACCACAGAAAAATACACTTCCATTGCCCATGCTGGCCTAAAATGTAATAAGGAAAATTCAAAACAAATACTGGAACACAATTATAACCTTAAAAAATCAATTACATGTGAAATTTTCCTCTCTGTTGCTAATATATTTTATTTAACAAATAGTTCAAAACTAGAATAAAACTGCACACTTCTGTGGTCACAATAATCACCAGGTTAAAACTACCAGAGCCTAAACATTTTAAGAGAAAGACAAATCTGCTTGCCATTTGATAGCAGAGACAACGGACATGAAATATTTAAAAGCCCTGTTGGCCTGCGCTGTGGTAACAGCCTCCGGGTACCACACCATAGCACGATAACGTAGTACAGCAGTGCTCCAGGAATTCTGACGTCTTCAGAGCACGTGTAAGAGCTCAAGATTATCTGTTGGGCATTAAGATTTAATACAAGAATATCTGAAACATTTAGTTAACATGTCTTTCCTTCCTTAAGAAAGCCCTCTCATGGACACTCAGCATCAGCAAGGCAGAGTTATTGTTTGCTTTTTATTAGAATAGAAAGAGTAAAACACTTTAGGTTCTTTCTCAGTGTCTACAATTACAATCTGAGTAATACTGAGTTGTAACTTTCTGAGATTCAATTACTTGGCTTGTAAGTGGAAAATAACTTCTAACTGGTCAATTACATTATATTAAAAACTCTTAGTAATGGTAAAGTGTTGAAATAAGATTTGCTATTATTTACTGCATATCTGAATCACATAGAATGATAATATTGTTACTGAATATATTTTTTAAAAGTGATTGTACGTAGGACTAGATGAACTCCCAGTCCTTCTTGCCCTGAGAATTTTATTTCTGAATATAGCTTTCTGAACAATCAAATCAGAAATTCTAAAGGCTCACAGAGAAATCGCTGTCGTTGTCAGTTTCGATATTAATATCATTGTTTTCTTCAGCTTCAATCTCTCTGGTCAGCTGCTCCTCCTCGGCGATGGCACTGGCGATGGCTTCCTCGTTGGCCTTTTCCAGACGATCCGCGAGCTCTTCCTTCTTAGCAAGAACTTCTGCCATGGACTAGAAAGTTAAAACCAAACAGAAATAAAGAATCGTCACTTGATTAGAAAGTTAAGTAATCAGTTCATTCTTTATATTCTACTCACATACTCAATAGTATACATAAAATCGTCTTGTTCTAGAATGATAAACCTGGGGTCCAGTACAGGCTCAGCCACTCGCTAGCTGTGGGACTTGGAAGGTTCTGAAAACCAAGAGCCTAGATTGTATTCTGTAAAATGGTACAATAATCCACAGCTTACCTTCTTTACCAGACTGCTGTGTATGAGAAACTGTGGAGTTATATAAATCGCAAGTATTATTACTGACAGTGTGAATTTTATTTCCATGCAAAAATTCAAAAGTTCTGGGTCAAATGTCTTAAAAAAACATTATATTTTAAAGAAGGAGTGTCAAACTCATTTTTACCAGGGGCCACATCAGCCTCGCAGTTGCCTTCAAAGGGCAGAATGTAATTATAGGACTGTATAAATGTAACTATCCCTTAACAGTGAAGCGAGAGCTCGGAGCTGCTGCCTGGTAGACACAAGGTGCCGGGCTGGACAGAACAAGGTGGAGGTGGGATTCGGCCCGCGGGCCTTGGGTTTGCCACCTGTGCTTTAAAGGGAACACAGAATTTATGCTGTAATGGTGATGATAACTAACTTAAATACAAGCTCCATTAAGTATCACAAACAGTATAAATTATAAGCATTAATGGGTAAGTCCCTATGATGAGCTAAATACATATAAAAATGTAGTTCCACAGTTATATTCAGAGGTTTCCATACCCCTTTCTCAACTGATAGACCAAGTACCAAAACTGGGCCCAGATAAAGAAGACCTGGACACTCTATTATCAACAATATTGACCTCGCTACCGTTCCAAGAGAAATGAAAATGCATTCAAAACAGAGATGTTCATGGTGCCTTTATTCGTCACACAAAGCTTGGAAAAAACTGCAATGTGCCATCGACTCAACAGATGAACATACTGTGTCACAGGCATATAACAGAACACGGTTAAAGACAGTAAGAAGAATGAACTCGCCCTGGCTGGTGTGGCTCAGTGGATTGAGCACCGGCCTGTGAACCAAAGGGTCACCAGTTTGATTCCCAGTCAGGGCACATGCCTGGGTTGTGGCCAGGTCCCCAGTAGGGGGCACATGAGAGGCAACCACACATTAATGTTTCTCTCCCTCCTTCTCCCTCCCTTCCCCTCTCTAAAAATAAGTAAATAGAATCTTTTTAAAAATTCCTAATATTAAAGTTGAATACTTTCACATATGAGCCCATTCCTTCAACTGTACCCTCCTCAAACTACCTTTCCATTTAGTCTCTGAAAACCTGAAAACACTTTAATGAAACAGTAGAGCTTAAAGATGAAGTGATGATTCAATCACCCACATGTAAGTTTTACTACTGTCACACTGTGGAATGCAAATGAACATCTGCAGAGGGCATTTTTTAAATTTCCAAATATTCAGTAAATTTGAAATTTCAGTAAATGTGAAAGAACAGATCCATCGTGGCTTGGTTTCCTATCAGCAGATTTTCACAATGTTGGCAAAAGATGACCTTAAGCAGAAAGGTTCTTCCAGTCATTTTTGGCTGAAGTTTGGTAAATAAGAGTACACATTTTTTCCCACACGTTAACCAGTTATGTGACAACACTATACTGAGAAAGAAAAGAGTTCTCCTGTCGCTTCTGTGACCCCCATTTAGAACCCAAACAATGATGTGCTTGCTTATCTAGGGCCGCCCATAGTAGCATCTCTGCCAAGACAAACACAAATTTTTTTAAATCTTTTAAAAAAATTCCTCTGAGCCCTGTAATAACACATTAATATTCATATTTAAAGCAGAACTTATTTTTTTATCAAGTGTGTATATTTGATCCTCAAAATAACACAGACATTTTAATATTCTACCACAAGCTTCTTTATATACATGATTAAAAATTATGAGAACAACTTTTAACTATTTTATACTTATTTAAGTATGACACCTGTTTCCACTTTTGAAATTTGATTCTCATGAAATCAATTTGCAATACAAGTAATTTAATATATCTAGATATGAAAAAAATACGTAAATAGGACCAATTTCTACCCCACACATTAAACCCACTACTTATAGCACCATAATGATGTTCAATCTTTAAAACCATTCACACTGAAAGACCCAAGTTAAAATAAACAAATTGCTCTTTATTACTTATTAAAGGAATCTAAGTATTTGCTTGTATTACTATAAACCTTATTTCTCCCTGAAACAACCCACATCGTTCCACCTCTGTCTAGTGTTATTATTCTCCATCAGATGCATAATCTGGCCTATTCCCATCTGCTGACAGCACCCTGCTGCATGATGAGGCACTAAGTTCTGGAAAAAATTACAATATACGCTGGCCGTTTACAAAAGAAAATCTGAGCAGTTTTTCTCAACAACTTTTTGTATGTGCCTACTGCCCTCTGAAAGTTGCTTTTTAAACAAAGGCAGCGTGACCTGTTCTGGACTATCCAGGTCAAGTATCTTAATACTGAAGTTGGAAACAGGAAGACGTGAGCAGAAATAAGCAGCCATCCAAAAACACAACCCTACACAGAATCACAAACCAAGGCAGTTTCAGAGATTCCACAATGGGGGTGGCACGTCAATTCCATCCTAAACACCAAGTCCCAGCAGCTGCCTGAAGTAACGTGTGAGGAGAATTTTAACACTAGACCCAGTGGACACCGTGTCCCATCCACCGAAGTGCTACACATGCAGGGCAGACTCGCTATTGGACCCGTTTCTTAATGTTGGACTTAAATGCCCTTGATCAAGTCACATTCAAACTGAATGATCTTGAGCAAGTTATTTGACTTTCCCAGTCTCACTTCCTTCCTCTACAAGACGAGAAACATCTAAATCACATCAAAATGTTGGTAAGCATAAAATGTTAAAAGAAAATAATACTTAGAATGCTTTGTAAGAAAATGATTTGTAAAAAAAAATGCTTTGTAAAGTGTAAAGTAACACATAATATAGTAAACTACTGGAGTTTATACCTCAGTAACAGATTATGGCTTTAATGTATTTACTCAGAATTCTGATAAGTTGTTCTTACCAAGGTAGCAGCACTCACATTTGAAACATCTGAAGAGTCCATTTCACTTTCCACCCCTACTTTCTCTGCTGACGATCCATCTTTGTTTGTATGCAAAGGAGGTGTGTCCTCCTGCTGAGGAATCGAAACACACTCTGTGTCCACGTGAACGGCAGGTATTTCCGAAGTTCGCACGGGACTGTCTGGTGAGACACCACTGCCAGAGTTCTTGACGTCATCCAATGTGCTCACTGTGAACTAACAAAATATATTTATAGAATGAGTCAGAGGTTTAACACTGACTACTCCACATTAGAAAACCTGATTCTGCTGAACTTATCAACTGTGAAGCAGTAGTTGCCTGGCAGGCAGAAAACTCACCCATCCTTTTTGTATGTTTCAAGTATAAAGAAAGAAACCAATAAGCAAGCAGCCCCAAGTTTTATTTGCACACCTACTATGGATAGGGCACTGCCTGAGTGCTTTAAGAAACTAAGCAACAGCACCCTGGCTGGAGGGCTCAGTTGCTTGGGGCATCTCATCCCATACACCAAAGAGCTGCATGTTTGATTCCCAGTCAGGGCACACACCTAGGTTGATGGTTCGATCCCTGGTCAGGGTGCGTAAAGGAGGCAGCCAGTTGTTTTTCTCTTTTACTCTCTCTCTCCCTTCCTCACTCTCTTAAAAAATCAACAAACATATCCTTGGGTAAAGATTTTAAAAAAAATTAGGCAATGAATACAGTAATTATATTTTGCTTTACCAGCCTCTTTTTGATGAGTACTTTAACATATACCTCACCAAAAAATCTAGTCTCAATCATAATACTTTGTGTTACATTCAAATAACTAAAGGTATTTATATGTTTTTTTGTGAAGACTGTCTACTATCAAATAAAGGCACTTTTCACCAAATATATAGTTTGAGGGTATTTCACTCAAAAAATAAAGGATGATATAAATATATCAAAATTCATATAACATTAAAACAACCTCTAATTATCTTTCATGAAGACCCAATATGGCACATAATACCAATTTTCAGATCTAAAAGAGAAATACACCATAAAACAGTATAGATTTTGTGAGCAGTCTCATTGCATAACTCATATTCTTTAGAATTTGACATCCTCCCTTTTGCTTTTAAGAGTATTTAACACATAACCAACAGAAATGAGAAAATGATCTGAATCAAATACACCACTGGATTGGGTCAAATACACGTCCATTTTTAAACAGCTGTCCAGCGAATAGAAATGAGCCTTTATATTCCTGCAAACCGAGTATAGAAAGAATGTTGCTGTGTTTTCCGATTCTACTCAGAGTAATGAGCTGAACTCAAATCTAAAATTTTGAACTTGAAACTCACATCACTACTTAAATAAACATTAGATAAATACTGAGTGCAGCAGCCATAAAACCCGAGTTTGATTAATTATTTATATAAATATGAAACTTGGCCGAGTCTTATAAACTACTTCAAAAACCCTATTGGTCGGAGCTGAGAGTGTCCCGAAGTGCTGACTTTAGCGGGAGCATCATTTGAACTGCATCTCGGTGTTTACACCGCTGTCAGCATCATCCATACGTCAGTAGCCACGGTTTATAATCTCCTTGGCAACAGTTATATAAGCATTACTGATATTTATAATACAGTCAACTCTGTTTATTAAAAAATCAATATCCTTTATATAACAAAATCAAAGCCCAGCTATAAAGTAATGTTGAAAAAATATATAACTATGCTAATTCCATTTTTAGAATGGCAGTAGAGAAAACAAATATTATTGTTAGCTTGACCACCATCAGCTGTGAACTTTTATACTGAAATATTTTAAAAATAGTTTAATTACTCAAGAGTTTTATGTATGGATTATTCCTCAAGTTCCAAAATCACAGAAGATTTTTGTTATACTAAACCAGCAGAAGTTTTACATTATTAAAATTTACAGCTAAAACACACATGAGCAAAAATGCTGGATGCCTGTTAAGAGATATAAAAAGTATTTTTAAATTAACTTAACCTATATTAAAAAGTTTCTTCAAGTTACAGTCAACAACTACTGATTATTTCCTATGTATCTAGGGCTCCATTCCATATTGTGGGAAATTAAAAGACAACATAAAACACTGCCTACAAGGAGTTTCTAACCTCAAGTGGGTATAAAACATACGGACATCAAAGAGTTACAGAACATCACAAACGATGTAGGATTAAGAAACATTATCATCATTAAGAAGGAAAACATGCAGCCCTAGCTCAGCAGTTCAGTTGCTTAGAGCATTGTCCCGACTCACCAAGATTGCAGGTTCAATTCCCAGTTAGGGCACATACGAGAATTAACCAATGAAAGCACAGGTAACTGGAACAACAAATCAGTGTTCCTCCCTCTCTCTTTCTCCCTTCCTCTCTCTCTAAAATCAATTTTTAAAATCCTTTAAAAATAATAAAATTTAAAAAAAAAGAAAAACACTGAAGTTGAGTATAGTTTCCAATAAAAGTAAATGTCCTACAGGTAAAAGAAGAGATTTTTAAAAGCAGAAGACTATTCCAGACTGAGAAATATCACAACTATTTTACAACTTGTTTACTTAGTACATGTCATATTAAAAAATAACTCATATTTCATTAAACATTTTATATAAAAACTCATAGAGCATGAATCGTGATGCAAAAAAGTATCAAAAAAATGCATTCCTAGCCCTGGCTGGTGTAGCTTAGTGGATTGAGTGCAGGCCTGTGAAGCAAAGGACTGAGGTTCAATTCCCAGTCAGGGCACATGCCTGGGTTGCAGGCCAGTTCCCAGTGGGGGACACATGAGAGGCAACCACACATTGATATTACTCTCCCTCTCTCCTTCCCTTCCCCTCTCTGAAAATAAGTAAATAAATAAAATATTTTTTTAAAGTGCATTCCTGGTGGAGGTGGAAGAGGGTAGAGGGGGATACATAGTAATGTAAAAAATACAAGAAAATATCACGTAAAAAAAACAAATAATGCATCCCTTCGTCAAACAAGTACAAAATTCAAATGGAGTAACAAAATACTAAAAATATTAATTTTAAAAAATTATATGAAATATCAGCAAAGCACGCCACATCTGACCTGCAGGAAGCAGAAGCAGAACAGGTTGAAAATGACCCTGACTTTCCTCAGCGTTTAAGAACCAGTCCAAGCAAAGCAAGAGGCCACCATGGAGACCCGGGCGTCCACGTCAGCAGCGGACAGGGCCACACCGACGACAGAGGCCTCCCGAAGCCACGCTCGGGACAACCACCGTGCTTCTGTCCCAGCTGCGTGTGCTCCGTGGAGTGGGGCGTGGGCAGCATGGGGAGGGACACCGCAGTGGCCGTGTGTGGCGTCAGGGGCGCTGGACTTAGTGGGGGCACTGCGTCAGGTACACAAATGTCTCATCACTAGGTGGCGCACCTGAAACTCACATAATATTGCACATCCATAATTGAAATTTTTTTCAGTTTTTTAAAACTGCATAAGCTAAACTGAATAATGAGCAAACAAACTAAAGGACATTCTACAAAGAAAACTGCAATGTAGTCTTCAAAATATTAATGTCATAGAAAACAAAGATAGACCGATACTACAGAAACAAGGCCAAACACCATGTGTGATTCCAGACTGGACCCTGGATTGGGGGGAAAATTCAGTAAGAAATTACTGGGAGAACTGGAAAATTCTGAGTATCTACTGTAAGGTAATAATATCATGTAACTGTCAAATTGCCTCAGTTTTATAATTATAATGTGGTTCCATAAAAGCTTTCCTTTCCCTCAGAGACACTGGCTGTGGCGCCGGAAGGGGAGGGGCTGTGATGCTGCACGTTGTCCTCACATGTGCAGACCTCACGCGTGCAGCACGTCTGTGTGACACGTAAACAGAGAGAAAACACACAGCAAAACGTGCACCTATGAATCCGGGTAAAGCGCATAGGAGGGTTCGCTGTTCTAGACCAGCAACTGTTCTGTAGATTTGAAATTTTTCACAATAAAAAGTTAAAAATGAAGGAGAAAAATGAGACAGCCCGGCATACACGTATCCCTTATGAAAATTCAGCACAAGGACTTCCGGAATGCACTACCTGGGTTCTCTCAGCCAGAGGACGGTCGCACGAGTGTGAGGAGTCTCTGGGCCGGGAGTCCACAGCCTGATGCGGCCCGTCTCCGACGAGTCCACCTCTGTGCACGCTGCCCTCCGGTGAAAGCCCTGCGTTTTCCTTGTCACTGTCGTCCTTTGACCTCGAGGCTGGCGCTGAAACCTTGGGCACAGCTGCTGCCGACCGGGAGCGCACAGGCCTTCCTCTCTGCACCGTCTCCCACCCTTCAGCGTCTTTCCGTTCTGTGCCATTGAGGGAAGAAAATGATACAGAACTCTTTAGATGGTAAAAACTTTCAAAATGCTATAAGTTAAAAATATTTTAATATAATTCCCAATACATATAAGTAATATACTAACATGACACTAATTATTATGCAGGATGTATCGTGTGTAGGTCTACACACACACACACACACACACACACACTGAACCTCATCCCTCTGACTACACTGTGAGGTCGAGATTAATCCTCGACAAACATTTTTTTAAAATCATCCCTATTTTACATACAACAGAACTGAGATTTAGATTTAGACTTAATGCCACAAGGTTTACTCAGTGCACAGTGTGCAGTGTGCCTGCCCTCTTCTAAGGGCTCTACACAATAACACTTCCAACCTCCACTTACACCCTATGCGTACTATCATCCCCGTTTCAGCAGTAAGGAAACTGAGACAAACAGAGTTTCAGGCCCTGACTGGTGGGGCTCAGTGGACTGAGTGCTGGCCTGTGAACCAAAGGGTCACCAGTTTGATTCCCAGTCAGGGCACATGCCTGGGTTGTAGGCCAGGTCCCCAGTAGGAGCGTGCAAGAGACACACACACATTGATGTTTCTCTGCCTCTCTCTCCTTCCCTTCCCCTCTCTAAAAATATATAAATAAAAACTTTCAAAAAATAAAAAGAATAGAACTCTGCTATATTAAATTATCTACTTTAAAATTTAACACCCCCCCTGCCGAACACAGTGGGGGCAGGAAGACTGAGTGGCGTTCTGACCTACTTCCCTCACGTCAGCGCCGCCCAGCAGGGAGCGAAGGTCCACCCTGCCCTGCACCCAAGAGGAGGCCAGAGCTCCCTTCAGTCTGCCCCTCCCGGCATCAGTGGGGCCAGAGGGGAGCTGACCTGATGCCACCAGAAGCTGCCTCGGATTTTCTGGGAAAGTGTTTCAGGGACCTGTTCCCGGAGCTCCAGAGGGGAAAGGGAGGGAGTGCAGGACTAATCGGTACTTGAAGAATGGCTGAAAACTTCCCAAACTTACTGAAAGACATAAAACTAAGAAGTAAATGCTAGGACACCCATGCTAAGTCACTTCAAACTTGTAGGAAACACAAAAGGAATAACTTTTCAACCTATGGCTAGACAGTGAGTTCCTACAGCTGACACCACACACATGATCCCTGAGGAGGTCAGGGACCTCCTCAAAATTAAAAGGTTTTGTCTTCAAAAGACTTTGTGAGGAGAATGAAAAAGCAAACGACAAACTGGTAGAAAATATCCCAGTTAGGACTAATGTCTAGAATATATAAAGAACACTCAAAAGTCAACAGCCTCATTACAAACTATCCAAGTAGGAAATGGGTAAAAGACATGACCAAACATTTCACTGAAGAGGGCACACAATGGCAAATAAGCACATGAGAGAAATTCAGTGTCATTAGTCACTAGAGAAATGGAAATGACAGCCCCCATGAGAGATGCCTGTCAGCACGACTGAGTAAAATACAGTGACAACGCTACACGCTAACACAGGATGGGGAAAACTGAATTCTGGGGGTGTGTATCACGTGATTCACTAAAAGGAAGAAATTTTATTTCAAAAAATATTTATAAAATGCTCATTACTCATAATCCTATTTAAAAATATAATAACTATATTACATTTTGTGTATTATATTTTAAAATAAATATTACACAGAACCTGTACTATTTTACTTCAAACATTTGGACTTTGAAATCTCTAAAGGGAAAATATGTTTAAAATTGTTTTGAGTTTTTAAAATTTTTTATTCTGACGAGTTTCAAATGCACAGTGCAGAGACATGGTATTATGAACACCATGGTCTACCCGTCCTGCTTCCACAGTTGCTAACATTCTTCCACTCTAATTCCTTCTATTTTCCGTTCCAAATTGTTACTACTGAAATATTTTAAAGCAAATCCTAAACACTATATCATTTCTCCTATAAATACTCAAAGTCTTTAATAGGAAAAAACTTTAAATACAACAACATCACTGTGGTAACAAAAAATTAAATTATATGCTATCTTGTCTGTGTTCCGTTTTCATCCATTTTTAACTTCAAAAAACTTTACAATTGTATGATTATCTTTTTGTTATTGCTTTCTACCTTACTTCCACTGTGTTCGGAAAAGACAGAATGGATTCAATCATCTGAAATTTGTTGAAACCTGTCATGGCTCAGCATGTGTCAATTTTGGTAAATGTCCCATGTGTGTGCTTTTCACAAAGTTTTTTATATTGCTTTGAGAGAGAGAGGAACGGGGGGAGAGGGGGAGAGAAAGAGAGAAACCATCAATTTGTTGTTCCACTTTTTGCTGCTTTCTTGTGTGTGCTCGCACCAGAGATCGAACCCTCAGCCTGGGCTCTAACCAAATAAGCCGCTCAGCCAGGGCCTTCGACGTGGGTTTGCATATGGATTCTGTAGTTACAGCCATGACAGAGTGGCCATATCAAAATTAACCATCTTTCCTCCAAACTATAAAAGCTAGACAAAATATAGAAATGAACTATTTAAAGCCACTGGAAAGCAAGCAATAGAGGCCAGAGTTGAGAAACTATATCCCCAAGAAAAGGGAAGCACAAGCACAGGAGATCCATGTTCAGCCCAGAATGCTCCCTGAAGACACTTGGAACTCTCAGGGCGGGGAAGCAAGCCCCCGCGGAGACAGCAGTCCGGTCTGGCTGTCACAGACACTGGAATTCCGTGAGTATGAAGCAACTGGGACTTCAGAGGCAAGACTCCTGAAGAGGGGCAGCTGCAGGACAGGCGGCCCAAAGTCTGCCTTCCATCTTCCCTCAGAAGTCTGACAACGGCCAAGCGCTGCACCCGCGGGGTGGCGTGCCAAGGCACCTGCAGGAGGCAGCAGCCAGGACACTAACGAGCTACGCAAAGCTGGCAGCCACTGCACAGGGCGGGGCAAAGGCTGGGAAAGAGGAATGCAGTGGCCTTGGCAGGCATCCCCAGTTTCCAGTTGATACCCCAAAAAGAATAAGGACAAAACTAAAACATATCGGTTTTAATAAAACCTCAAACCAAACTTTGACAGAATTAAGGCGATCTGCTTGTACTCTGTATCTCCTTGCCAAAATAGAAGAATAATATTTTTAGAAGGCTCTGTATTTTTTAATCTACCATATTAAACATTTGAGTAAATATTACGTGGCTGGCTATAAAACAGGACCAAGTAACTGAAAACCTCCCGAAGATGTTTTTAAAGTAACGCCTGGCTGGTGTGGCTCAGTGGACTGAGTACCAGCCTGCGATGCAAAGGGTCACTGGTTCCATTCCTAGTCAGGGAGCTATCCCACAAATAAATCGACAAAAGCATTCGTTCTCCTTAAAGTTTACGCAGGGTAAACCTCAGACTAGAATGATCTCCTTATGCTTTCCCATAGGTTTTAAGATTATTTCATGGGTTTATGTAGGACAGACTAATATCATGCAAATGATGTAAAAAGACAAATACATAATGCCGTCAGCTCCAATTTCAAATAAAACTATTTCCACATATACCCACGTGTCTACTACATAAAAAAGAACGATTCAAAGTCACTTGCCATTTTTGCAGGAAGTCTTCTGCACTGTCATTGGTGGGCAAGACTGAGCAGGTGCCACATCTGGAGAAGCAGTCGAGACCGCGTGATGAGCCTTGACCTTGTCGGCCCAACTAACACCCGTGGGAGCCAGACGGGGAGCAGCCACTGCGCCCTGTGGAGCCCTGCGGGGAAAATGTCTGCTCATGAGTAAATCGAGTGAGGGTTTAAATTTGGGATCCGAATTACGCTTTCATATATTTCCTAAAGTTAAACTTTCCTCTCCTGGTTTTCATTCAAACAATTGCAAACAACATATATGCAACCATATAAATGGATATTTTTATAAGAGAATTATCAGTTTTATAATACTTTGAGTGCACTATCTGCAGAAAACAATTTAATGTAATAAAAGCCTTATTTAGCAGGTTTCCTTGAGTTCATCTCACCCAAAATTTAAGCTTCTTCGAGCATTTGATGCGACACTGATTCTGTCTGTCGAGGGACTTGCGACCACAGGGCGCCCTGGAGACATCTTCTTTACTTCCCAGGCCAGCGAGGTTGGTCTGCCGGGGCAAGACACACAGATGACATTGACAGAAGCGGGGAAAACCCAACCTCTTCTGGGGGTTACGATTCTCCCCTGGGGAACCACCACTGGCCAGAAGGTGGCCACAATGCCAGTGAGCAATCACCGGTGATACAGAGGCAGGACCTTCCACCCACTTCAGCACAACAAACCGCCCTGCTTACTGAAATGGGGCCATGAGGCACAAAGGCACGACATTCGCAATCCTTATGTTTTAAAAGCCTCCACACACCCAGCTGAAAACACATTTAAAAATATGGTACAAAGGTACTAATTCAGGCTACTCGCGTCCAATGTCCTGGAGAACTAAGTACATAGAACTGGGACCAAGACGGAAACACAGGGGGGAGGGTTCAGTGAAGAACACGCAGGGCAATACGAAGTCTCCTTCCTCTGTCAACCCCCCATGTGGTGGGAGCACCGACACGTCACTGCTCTTCCGTAGGGAAGCTGCCTCCCCTTCCTCACGGGCCCCACGGACCCACGCCCAGTATCAGTCCCACTAAAAATCTTTTCTTCTCTACCCCTCTGCCCTCGGTCAGGCCTCCACACCTCCCCAGAATCTCTGTGCCTCTTATTCTCCATTCGATCTAGTGAATGTAATTTTTTTCTTTCATTAAAAAGTGATATGGATTCCTAGAAAACAAGAAAATTCTGATAAAAGACTATCCAAATCAAGTCCAAGGCTTTTGACAAGCTACTGCCAAATCACCTTCCAGAAAGGTTTAACAAATTACACTGCCGCCTGATGATAAGAGCCCATTTCCCTTGAACCTTGCCAACTGCTGATACCTTGTTTTAAAAATTCCACTGGCTCGTGAGAGAGACGGCACTGCCAGCAAAGTCTGAAATATTTACTAACTGGCGCTTCACAGGAAAAGGTTGCTGACTTCTGTGCCAAAGCTGCACCTTGGAATGACTGCTTTTTCCTACAGGAATTTCAGTCAAAGTGTTTAATTTTTCTTAAATCACTGGTAAAATGGTACTTGTTTTTGTTTTTTAAATTTTATGTGTTTATTGTCATTAATTCTGATGCTAAACTTTCTTAACTACCATTTTAATTTCTTAGGATTTACACGTTGGTATCTTTTCCTCATTTTTTCCCACTGGGATTTGTGTAATTTCTTAATTGATTTGAAATCATTTAACTAATATTACTATTACGACTACAAACCTTTGGGGTTACATGATGTACCTATTTCACTTTTAACTTTAGTATTTAGAAAAGCATATTTTCCTCCTATTAAACAAACCTATCATATAGGTTGATAGGCCTTTCCTTTGTGACTTCTTACTTTTTCAGAGTCCTTATCCACAATAAAAACATATAAACACTTGTATTTTCGTCTCTACATATGTACAATTTCTGCTTTTGTACTTAAGTCTGAGGCCTAGGTGAAAGGAAATTTGAGGAAGGTAGTAGACTGAATAATGCCGTCTACAGGGAATTCAAGGTCGCTCTCCCTATCTGTGAGCTGCCTCAGGAGGCGAGGAGGAGAAATGCTGTTAACTGGCCGAAGGATGAAGAGGTGCTTCAGGCAGGCTTTTGGAGAGTGGCCATTAAGCTGGGACTTGGCTTGGAATCTTTCTCACGGCAGTCAGGCCTCAAAGCAGCCACTGCCGGCTGCCTGGAGTTTGCAAGCAAGAAACAAAAATCTATTGGATAGTTACCCTTTCTTACACATTGCTGGTTACATTATAGAAGCTCAAGTAAAATTTAAAAAGAGGCAGAAAGAAAATAAAGATTTGTCGTAAGGATATAAACTGAACAAGGTCAAGGACATCCAAAGGGAGAGGGACTAGAATCAGGACTCTCGAGGATTTGACCTAGAAGAGACAGGCTTTAAAGCAACACCCTTAAATTCTCAAAAACCCAGTATACCCTTTGAATACTTCATCTGCATCCTCCATGAAATCATTCCTGGTCTACGCCAAAAAGATACGACCCTGTCCTTTTCTGAACACTTGCAACAGCTTTTGTAGCAATAAGTTCTATTTTACCCTGTTGTTAGACTCCAAATTCATGACAGCAGAAAATGAACCGTATTCAGCAGTTAAATGTCTGCACTGGAAAAAAGTGCCTTGCACTGGCATGTATCAAATAAATATTTGTTACTACTAAGTTGAATGAGAGATGCTAAGGTCAAGTTCACTGTCAATTTCAATGACTGCTTTAGAAAATGCCGGCAGCTTTAACGATAAAGACCAGAGTTCATTACCTGCTTTGAGCATCTGTCTTCTCCAGCTTTTCCTGAAGCTGAATCCAGTCAATCAATGCTTTGAAATCTCTTACATAGTTGTCCAGCATCATGAGCACCTCCTGATAGGAAACAACAATAAACATTATGTTCCATTCTCATGCTAAAAAGAACTTGAGAATGAAGGAAGCTGCAAAATCTACTGATTTAGTTTTCTTGGGTTTTATTTTATTTTGATTCGTACTATTTGCCAAGAAATTAGTGAAGCTGAGAATCTAAAGAACCGAGACAGTACTGGTATTCTTTTTTAAGACTGTCAGAATGACCATTCTTTCAACCTTTTTTATTGTGGGAAAATGCACAAGACACAAACGTACAGGTAAATCATTTCACAGCAAAGACCCAGGCAACCACCACCCCGGTGGAAAATAAAACAGTTCCAGTCTCTCAAAATTCCCTGTGGTCCCCTCCTTGCCACCACTTCATCCCTCTCCAAGGTACCCACTGCTCTAACCTTTAGTCATTTAATTTAGCCTATTTCAAAATTCATGTAAATGAACTCATAGAGTATTATTTTGTGGCTTCTTCTGTACATCTGTTTACTAGGTTCATACATCTTTCAGAGTGTGCCTGCAATTCACTGTCGATTTCTAAGGTCACTAGCGAAACAGCATTCTTTAAGTGAATATTTATCCAATCAACTGCTGATGAATACTTGGGTAATTTCTGAATTCCAGATATTACAAATTATACGCTATTATTCATGTAGATGCCCTCTGCACATACACAGGCGTTTCTATTGAGCGAAACTGCTGATTCGCAGGGTAAGTGCATGTCCCACTGCAGCACCAAATCCTGACCCGTCTTCCAAAGAGGCTGCTACCGAGCGCCAGTGCACGGGGGTCTGCTTCCCTTCACAAGCTCTCCACCACTGGTCAGTTCTTGTCTTGCCAGGAACAGCCATTCTAACAGATGTGAGCTGGTGTCTCACTGTTGTTCTGATTTGCATTTCCTGTGTGGCTAGTAATGTTAAGCATTTTTCTTATATCTGTGGGTCATCTGTATGTCTTCCTTGTAAAAATATCTAGGCAGGTCCTCTGCTCATTGTTTAATCAAATTGTTCAACCAAGGAGCCTTTGACAGACGACTGGATAAAGGCAGGGTGCTACATCCGTGCTGCGGAACACTCCGTGGCCTACAGAGATAAAATGTTGCCATTTGTGGCCACGTGGATAACTCTTGAGAGTATTATGGCAAATGAAGTGAGTCAGATGGAAAAGGACTGACCTTTATGGTTCTTACGGTAAGAACAGTAAACCTGCACTCATATGTAAGATATAAAACAAAAAGCAACAAACGGATACAAAACCAGACACGGAGGTACAGACAACAGATTGGTGGGTACCAGAGGGGAAGGGGGTTGGAGGAAGGTCAAGGAGAGCAGAGGGGGTCACATACAAAGTGATGGAAGGGGAGCAGACTCTGGGTGCTGAAGACATAACAGAGTCCTCAGGTGTTCCATTATAAAGTTGTACACCTGAAATTTATGTTATTAAATAATGTCACCCCAAGAAATTTAATTTTTTAAATGATCATTGTTTTATAAATACATTGGCATTACATAACCAAGTTTTAGACTGACTTTCTAGTATCAGTGGTACCCAAAGACCTCGATGACACTTTCAGTTATAAATTTTTTAAAAATATAGCTACACTTTGGAAATCAGGCCCAACACTAGTATTAAATATACACATAATTATGCACAAACAAAATACAGTACCAATCTCACTTTAGTCACAAAACTTATATTCTCCTTCAAAATTAGACTCTTCTGAACAAAGAAGTATTGTTTCTTTCCTCTAAAGGTGATCCTTACTGCCAGATCACTGGTAATAACAGTCTTCTACAACCAGGAAAAGGAAAAATGTGAAGATTTAGTTGGCTTCCTTTTCTCAACTCTACTAATGCAATTTTTTCCATTAAATTCACTCAACTTAAATCACCTACATTAGAGCACAGAAAGCTTTAGTCCAGAATAACTTATTCCACCAGGGTTCTGAATTTCCCTGTGAGAAAACGAGGCAGCTCGCTGGAGGAGAAGGAAAAACAACCTTTCACTGGACGAGCACGTGAGCAGCTACACCTCCGAGGCCAGTCGGCCAGTCGGCCCAGAGAAAGGACACTTGGGGGGCTTAAACAACCTATTGTAAGGAATGCTTAGCTCCGCATTATCGGGAATGATCAGAGTGGTACCACGCAGCTGTAATCCGAGTCGTGTTTTACGAACAAGGGAACACAAACAGGACAAGCAGCTGGAGCAGCCTCGCAGTCACTGATGCACATCTGCCCCCGCCCCCACCCCCCCACAGCAAGGAAGGCCACTTTGTCAGGCAGGATGAAACAGAACAAAAGTGCTTCTGAAAGTAATGTTATAGGCATTCAGATAAGTACATATAGATGTACAGCTAAAATTACCAATTAGTTTACCAATTGGCTGCAACAGATTTGATTGGTTGGTAATTAATTCTAGTTACTGGCGCTCGGTGGAGGACGGTTGGCGCCATCGCTTTGTCCTGCTGACACACAACACCAGTGCCCAGGCCCCTGGGCCCAGGACGGCGACAGAGCCCGCCAATTCACCACAGGAGTGGGCACAGCGGTGAACTCTAGCGGTGGGGGGCGGAAACATGCATCCCGTGAGAAGTCAGTGATTCAGGGAACCTAACAAAGGAAAGAGCTTTACCAAAGGGAAACAAGTTTTTAAGAGCATGATTTTTAAGAACGCTCTTAAAGCATTAAGAATGATTTTGAAGCCTGTTTTTAAAGCTACTAATGGAACGGTAATTCAAAATGGAAATCATCTGAAAGCAAAACGGCACGTGAACCCCTGTCCACCCTGCAAAAAGCATCATTCACAGTCCCCATCGAGAGCACCCACCTCGCTCCAAACCCTTCTCAGAACAAGCGGAGAGGCTGGCTCCCACTGCACTGCCTGGGCGCCCCTCCACCCACCCTTCTGCCCACCTGGTGAGGGAGACGGGACCCGGAGTGCTGACGGTGAGAGCACAGCTTTGGCAATTATCAGTTCTCAGCAAGTCACGAGGACGTGACTGAGAGCATAACGGGCACTTCTTCAAACTACAGAGTGAGGAAGTCAGCCTCCTTTGGTTCCAGAGGTGTGCTCTGATCTACATCTACTTCTGGCTGGAACAGAAAACATGCTTTTTACTACCATGTTCTACTTCTGTGAATTACATACTATGGCTATTAGTAACTGCATTTTACATATAAGACAAGGAACTGAGCCGTGGTTATTTAACTAGAAAAAAATCACAAATAGGGATAAATCTTGTTCATAAGCAAATCTTCCGCAAATCAAGGGTTGAATCCACAACTAGAATGAGAGGAAAAACCTGGATTATGTGCCTCACAAAGATACCAATCAAATGAGGTAATGTATGGAAGTGCTTGTGTAAAAGAAAGATAAACAGAACACAAACTCGAGGTGCTATGCATCCAGCACGTGCTTCGACCAAATGCTATACTGTCTGTTTATATCTCTACCTGCAAGTCCTGGGTGTGCAGAGCAGCAGAGTTGGGTATGAAAGTAACTTTCAAGCTCCCAGATTTTATTTCTCAGTATAAGCCTTTGAACACCTTGGCACCATACAGACAAGAGAGCACCCCTCTCTGCACCCTCTCACTTTGTCAAAACCTTCTCCATTCTTAAAACCTACCAACTTGAACAAGCTTCTATTGCTGTTAAACTTTCACAGAGTTTTGGGTAGTCAAGGGTCAGAGCCAGAGAACACAGCCACAGTACCTCGTGGCCACGTCCAGCTTCCTCAAAGACAGCATCAGAGAGAGGGGCAGGAGCTTCCGCCGCTCCTCACGGAGGCACGATTACAACTGGTCGAGCTTATTTCCAGTAAGAAGTGGACACTTTACACACAAATTTGATTTCCTCAAGGAACACTGTTATTTTCCAACATAAAAGCAAACAATCTGCTAATGTGAGTGACGTAGGGACGACCTAGAAATGATGTAGACCCACATGCTCACTTCCTGTCAGAACCTCTACAGTTAAGTCCCACAGCACCTTGCACCACAGCACCCTGATCCATTACATTCAAAAAATATGATTTGGCTTAAGAACATTTATCTTAAAAAAAAAAGAAAAGAAATTTTACATGCTGAATGTAACAATATCAATTGTGACAAACCATAAATTTGGATGAGTTCAATTATTGTTCATTCTTAAAACCTGCTTCTGATGAATCATATTTTTAAGCTTAAAACCTATTTTGGTTGTTTCCAATTTTAAAAGAAATACAGTTGCTGTCTCAACATGTAAATATTCTTTGACCCTACATACATTTCAAAGGTTAGGTAATGAATTCCAGGGTTTTCAACCCTGTTCACTATAGAAACAGAAGACACTACCTTTGTAATAGTTCAATAAAGATGTACCACTCCTGGTTTTTCTCAAAACAGTTTTATGCAGTATGAAGTAATATTCCATGTAGTTTATATTTACTAAAAGGCCAGGTTCTTAAGTGAATTTTTAGAGGCAGCTAATGCTGTGTATCTGTTTAATATCCTGTTACAGACACAAACAGGAACACAACTCACTGACAACACTCCGTTCCCACCCAGGACTGTTTACGGTCGGCCATCGGGCTCCCTTTTCCCTGACTGGAGTGAATCAGGAGAGCGATCAGCACCTCAGCGGAAAGGCAGCAATGTCCCACTGAAGACATTAAACACAAAACCAAAGAATGTGAAAATCTCACTAGTGCCACCTGGAGCACCAAGGGTGAATGAAGAGGGATTTTTTTGTAAGTAATTGTGTCTGTGTGTGCATATCCATCCCTTTGACTTATTGCCCAGTACTACATATCAAGACAGGTTTCTACCGAATCTTGCACATAATGAGGCAATGCAAACAGCAGCAACCACCCAAGTGCCCTGGAAAAATCAAAACAGGGAAAATCTGCAGCACTCACGGAACCGAGTGGGACCATGGTTGCGAGGGATGTGGGAGGGAGAGAGAGGCTGGTCAGAGGGTACAAACCTTTAGCTGTAAAATGAGTATGCTTTAGGGATCTTATGTGCAGCACAGTGACTGTAGTTAATACCACAGTATTACATACTGAGGTAAATAATCAAGTCAGGTGTGGCCAAATCTATTTGAATCTGGATTCAAATAGATTACACAGGCTCGAAGTGAAACTTACCTTACATTCCACCACACTCTGATCCGATTCACAGGTTACATAAATTTCATCCACTGCCCGGCGAAGATTGTCAAAAAGAAACGCCCAGTATCTAGCTCTTAGATCAATTTTACGAGGGTGCCTTGTTTTTGTGGGACTTTTGTCAAAGTGTTTCTCTCCTGTTGTAGATGATGTTATTTTACAGTCTCCTGCAGTGTTCTGTAAAAAAAAACAATCCATAAAAAAATTTTTTTAATCCTCCAGGGATTGTATTATTACATGAAGCACATTTTTCTTTTTTTTTTACTTTATCTTTACCCAAGGACATTTTCTTAGTAATTACAAATATGTTTACTGATTTGAGAAAGAGAAACACCAAGATGAAACAGAAAGATCGACTGCTTGCCTCCCATTCGTGCCCCAACCAGAAATCGAACCCACACCCTAGGTGTATGCCCAGCCCAGCCCGTGGTGGCAACAGCTAAGAGCCTGGCAAACACAGAGGCAGTGGAGGTGGCCTGCTACCCCAGCTCCCCAGCCCACTAATGCCATCTCCATACTACAGGGACATTGCCCAAGTCCCACGAGACCCCAGATGAGACCCCAGATGCAGCAGGGGAACCACCATCCCAGTGGCTACGCTGCAACAGCGGGGACACCGGCAGCAGTAAGGAAGGCACCAGGGACTCCCGGAGGCACAGGCAGCAAGGGCACCTTGCAGGTAGGAAGTGGTGGCTATCAAATCTAACCGAGTCAGTCAGCTCAGGTAAGAGAAACTAAAAACACATCCTACAGTGCCACCTACTGGAAAACAAAAAAGGCCTCCAATTGCCAACCCAATGAATTGTTAGATTAAAAAAAAAAAGCTTTACCTAAATAAGAAAGTTGTTCACTACCTCAAATGCACTCGCTGAGGAAAAACCCATCAAGCACCATGAATAATCACAGTAACACATTATCACAAAAAGAAAATGATTCTCCAGAACCTAAACTGAAAGCCATAGAAGACTGTGATCACAATGTCAGAGAATTCACAATCAGTACCATGAAGAAACTCAAGGAGACAGAAGAAAACCCAGAAAGGCAGCCCATTGACCTCAGGCATAAAATTAATGAACAGAAAAAGTACTTCACCAAAAGCCTGAAACTGTAAAGAAAGAATCAAACAGAAATTCTGGAGCTGAAGAACTCAATAAATGAGATGAAGAATGAACTAGAAAGCACTGGAAATAGAGCAGACCACACGGGAGAGAAGACAGAAACCTAGAAATGACTCACAGGGAAGAGGAGAGAGACCTAAGATCCACCTGCCTCCAGGAGAAAGGGCGACACAGGAAAATGGGTCCCCAGGACAAGCGGAAAGAAACGGGGCAGCAAACAGAAAGTCTGTTTAAACAACTGACGGATGAGAACTTCCCAAACCTGGAGAAGGAGCTGGACATACAAGTACAAGAAGCTAACAGAACAACTAGTTTTCTCAACGCAGAAAGACCTCCAACACTATATTAAAGTTGTTAATAGTCAACGATAAAGAAAGAATTCTAAAGACAGCCAGGGGGAAGAAAAAACCCAGTGAACTAGATAAGAATGACATATTCCAAATACTGAAAGATGAAAACTGCCAGCCAAGAATAATTTATACATCAAAGTGATCCTTCAGATATGAAGAAGAAATACAGGCTTTGTCTAACAACAAAAAAAAAAGATAAGAAAAGAAAAAATAGATGATGGGGAATTCACCAACATAAGACCTGGCTTCTAAAAATGTTGAAGAGAGCTCTTCTGTCAGAAAGAAAAATGTAAAAGTACAGAAAAGTCTAACAAGGTGATAAATAGATAGAGATTATTAGAAAATTGCAACTATTACAGAACGGAGTGTTAAAAACATAACTATTGCCCTGGATGGTGCGGCTCAGTGGACTGAGCACTGGCCGTGAACCAAAGGGCACATGCCTGGGTTGTGGGCCAGGCCCCCAGTAGGGGACATGAGAGAGGCAACCACACAATGATGTTTCTTTCCCTCTCTTCTCCCTCCCTTTCCCTCTCTCTAAAAATAAATAAATAAAATCTTTTAAAAAAGAAAGTTACATTAAATTTATACATGAAAATAAAATATACAATATTCACATCCTAAAAAAATAAACTCTTTAACTAAAATGAAAAGCTGCAAATACTATACCGGTTTGGTTTTATGAGTGCCTTGAATGGTCCTCTTTGATTTTCCACCAGCTTGACATTTCAACTTTCCTTCAAGAATAAACATAAATGTAAAGATCAACAAATCGTTAATACACTATAAAATCAAACTATGCAAACTACTATACTACTGAAGATCAATCTGAACTACTGATGGAATAAAAAACAAATTTCTGGAAGCAGACTATTTTCACTGAGCAGCTTTCTCAGAAGAGGAGTAAATCAACTTCTTAAGGAAGTCAGATAGTCTGACAATTTAAAAACAAGGTCGGCCTGGCTGGGTTGCTCAGTTGGTCAGAGTGTCATCTCAATATGCCAAGGTTTCAGGTTCGATCCCCAGTCAGGGCACATAGAAGAATCAACCAAGGAAAGCATAATTAAGTAGAACAACAAATCATTCTTTCTGTCTCTCTCAAATCAATAAAAAAATTTTCTTTAAATAAATAACAGCAAGGTCAAATAAAAAACTTCAACCAAAAAAACTATGTTGAGATAGGATCTGAATTTGTTTCATGAGCGATAAAATTTTAAAAAATAAAAACAAGGTCATGTTAGTGATACATCTCGAATTATATATACAGGTCTGAAAAACTACTTATTTCAATACAAATTTTATTGCAACAATAAAATCAAGAATACCTTCTTTACTAGATAAGACTCATTATTTTGTTTCAACTTATATGATTTATGAAATACACTTTAATTTTGAAAAGGGAGGTTTTTAGTCTTTTCTATTTTTGCAGTCAGATGTATCTTTCTCATTTGTTCTATTCTTTCATAAGATACTACTGTTTTATAATCATTCTATTTCTGAAAACAATTCTAAACAGGAGTAAAAAACTTATAATGTACAACAAAATAATTTTCTTTCTGCTAAATAATTTTTGCCAGAACCCCGATGCAGTACAAATGAAGTAAACCGTAATATCTGTCCATGATTTATCTGCCCGTAAGCGGGCCTCCCTTATGTCGATCAGGCACGAAGGCCGAGACCTCCGCACTCACCTACACAACCTTTATTCATCCTTTCGTTAGAGACTTACCCAGTAGAATCACCGGCTTAGAACAAGTACCAGAGGAAATAGAAAAAACCCCAAAGAACAGGTGAGAACTTTCAAAAATTGATTTATTATCCTCAGAAATATCTGAGTACATCGCAGCCATAAAAAAATAACAAGTGGTTGTTTTTATAACTTTTACTTTTTATGGATTTATTAATTTTTTTTGAGAGAAAGAAACATCAATTCTTTGTTCCACCACCATTCGCTGGTGATCAGTGATCAAACCCACGACCGGGGTGTATCAGGATGACACTGTAACCAACTGAGCTGCTTGGCCAGGGCCCAAACTGATCTTAATAAATAAATAAATACATACATACATACATACATACATAAATAAATGCTTTTCTATAAGTGGAAAGTTTTAACGATATAAAATAATCCTTACCAAAAATTATAAAGTTAACATTCTTCTTTGTAATTATTATAGATATTCAGATAGTTTTAATTCTCTTGGCTTATAGTTCTATTATTTCACAATTAACATAAATGAAGCTTTTAAATTGTACTGGCTAATTTTTTAGGTATTTATACACAAAACTGTGTTATATACATATGTATGATTCATTATTGTATTTTCTTTCCTCTTATGGTTACTTAAACTAGAAGCCACTGTAATAAAAACACTTCCAGATTGCTTTGTGCTCTCAGTAACACAAAAAAGATGGCAAATGAAATTTAACAAACCATTTATAATACATAGCAACCATAGACATGTTTAGGTTTTATGTTGTTGCTTTTGTAGTAAATAATGTTGATATCTAATTTTTATTTGTATAAGAATGTGATGAAAAAAAAAACTAATCTCCTCTAACTTAAAAAACCCTAACCTACTAGTCACAATAATATGACAAACCCAAATTCATTCCTTGGTGAAACAATAAAATTAGTAACACTTTGCTGAAACCATTTGCATATCAGATAAAAAGGCTATAAAAACTACTTCCTATTTAATTTATGCTAGTTTGCCCAAGAGTTTTCTAATAGTAAACAGCTTTCAGTGTGGCGTATGGTTTAGGACTAAACGTCACCTTCTCATTTTCCACAAAATGACACGTATTTTTAAGACATACCATCATCATCTTTGCTTTCTAGAGGCACACTCCATGCGATCAGGTTTCGGGCCGTGCGCCCCTCCTCTGCGACGATCCTCCTCACTTTGTCGTGACTGTTGGAGCGCTGGAATGAAGCCTGCGTGCAGAGAAGCGAGTATTTGCTACATTAGTGGATCAGTCTACATATAAAATATATTTGGTAGATAAATTCATTACTTCTTATATTTCTCAGGAAGAAAACACTCAAATTCTAGTAATTTCTAATGATCTTGTTCTTCCAGAAATGCCAAGAGTAATTTAATAGTCTTAAACATTGTAATCCAGCCCTGCCTGGTATGGCTCAGTGGGCCCAGCGCCCCGAGCCAAAGGGCTGCTGGTTCCAGTTTAATTCCTAGTCTAGGGCACACGAGGCAACCCTTTCTCTCTCTCTTTCTCCTTCCCTCCCCCTCTCTAAAAACAAATAAACAAAATCTTTAAAGAAATTAAAAAATAAGAAAGTTAAAAGAGTAACTTTCTCAGAATGAGGTCTCTTCAACGCCTGGACTTGGCCAGGCCTCCATTATGTACAAGAAACAACTCCTACTCCTTTGCAGCACATCTCACAGTTAAATTTTAAATTATGAAATTATGTGATAAATTATGTATATGATACACAATATATAATACACACATATATATTTACATAGATGCTTCTTTTTGAAAACATAAGCAATAAAGGATAAACCAAAAACTAGTAAAAATGATTACCCACAGCACCCAGTAAAATGGCTACTGTCAGAAAAAAAAAGTGTTGGCAAGGATACATATGATACAAACTGGAACCCTTGTGCATTATTGGTCAGAATGTAAAAATAGTACAGCTGCTGTGGAAAACAGTATGGGGGTTCCTCAGAAATTTTTTTAAAGATTTTATATCTTTATTTTTACAGATGGGGAAGGGGGGGAAGGGGAGAGAGAGAAACATCAATGGGTTGCCTCCCATACATGTTCCAACTGGGACCGGCCCAGGAATCAAACTGGTGACCTCTCACTTTGCGAGACAACACTCAACCAAGTGAGCCACACCAGTCAGGGCCTCAGGAATCTTTAAACAGAATGACCATATACATGATCCAGCAATTCCCATTCTGGGTATACAGCACAAAGAACTGCAAAAAGGGCCTCAAAGAGATAACTGTACACCTGTGTTCACAGTGACTTTATTCTCAACATCTAAGATGTGGGAGCCGCCCTGTGCACCGGCAAATGAACTAGTAAGCAAAATGTGGCACATACACACAATGGAATACCATTCAGTCTTGCAAAGGAAATTCACATATGCTACAACCTTGAGGACACTATGCTGACATAAGCCAGTCAGAGAAAGGCGAGTGCTGTACGAGTCCACTTCAGTGTGGGACCTAGAGTAGTTGAAATCGCAATGACAGAAAGTAGAATGATGGTTGCCAGGGAGTAGAGAATGCGGAGCGAGGAGTCACTGTTTATTAGGTACAGAGTTTCGGTTTTGCAAGGTTAAAGGAGTTCTGGAGATAGATGGTGATGATGGTTACACAGTAATGTGAATGTGCTAAATACCACTGAACAGTACACTTAAAAAGGATTCAGATGTAAATTGTATGTGTATTTTAACAATTTTTTTTAAAAATTGAAAAAGAAAGGATTATCCACGAGGGAAGAAGAGGAAGAATAGAGACGAATATCAGACTTCTCTAAATGAATACTATCTTATAGCTTACATCTGGAACCATGTAAATGTTGTATGTGACAGTAAATAAAAATCAAAAAGAAAAAGAAATATCAAAAGATCAAAATGAAGACATGGAATAATTTTTCAAAGTACTGAGAGGAAAATCTGGCAACCTGGACTTGTATGCTGAGCAAGACCATGTTTGAAATGACAGGCAGAAAAAAGATATCTTAGCCCTGGCTGGTGTAGCTCAGTGGATTGAACGTGGGCCTATGAAACAAAGGGTCTCCGGTTCAATTCCCAGTCAGGGCTCATGCCTGGGTTGCAGGTCAGGTCCCCAGTAGGGGACACATGAGAGGCAACCACACATTGATGTTTCCCTCCCTTTATTTCTCCCTTCCCCTCTCTAAAAATAAATAAATAAATAAATAAAATCTTAAAAAAAAAAAAAAGATAACTTTAGGTAAACAAAAACAGTTTATAATTAAAAGGCCCCTCACTGTAGGAAATTCTCAGGATATAACATGCAGAAGGAAAGTAATCCCAAATGATCAAAAACTTAGAACTTCTTGTTATGTCATTAAGACGTAAAGCAGAGTGTGGTGCAGGGAGTGTGCAGTGGGTTATGATGCAGAACACAGGCAGACGTACTCCTGCCCTGGGCTCTACACTTTCAAAGACTGAACCTGTCAAAGTATCAAAACCCAAAGCTAAGCAGGAACTAACTGAGTGAACAGAAATGAAGAGGGATTTGCAAACTGAACTGAGACTCCCCCAGGCTACACAATGAGGGAAGGAAAGGGAAAGAGGGAGATCACAGCCTCTGTGCTGGGAGTAAAAACATCTAATTTTGCCTAGGAATGGCCACCCTCCCTCTCCCACAGGAGGTGTGCAGGCAGACAGGGCTCCCCTCTAAACTCCATGCCCTCCTTTTCCTGTAGTGGGGTGGTGTAGGGTATAGTGTAAGAAGACACTTAGAGCTGCCTGGAAATCCTGAGATAGAAAAGCATGGGGAAAGGGAAGCTGTCTGTCCAGGCTCCCTGGGCCTTTCGCCACACTGGTCCCCCTCCCAGATCCAGAGCCCTGCACCCCGCCCCCGCTGGGGAGCGCACTGCTCCTTTCAGAGCAGCTTGGCCCTGAGTAGAAAAACAGGTCAATCGGGTGGCTTTTAAAAATTAGGACATAAAAGAAGCTGGCTTCCATTTGAATCTCTGCTCTAGGTCCCACAAATGGCAGGGGCTCGGCCTGAGACCCTCAGTTGTACACTATATTACCGTGCTGTCCCACAAATGTGTTCTATCAAATATCTTTACGGAACAAATACTGCATCAGAAAAGGTAATAAGTCAAAAATACACGGAAGAGCCCTGGCCAGGTAGCTGAGCATTGTCTGTCATGCCAAGGTTGCAGGTTCAATCCCCAGTCAAAGCACATGCAAGAATCAGCCAATGAACGCAAAAATACTTGGAACAACAAATTGATGTCTGTCTCTATTTCTCTCTCAAACCAACAAATAAGAATATTTTTTTAAATAGATGGAAGAAAGGAAAGAGAAGCAAAAAAAAAAAAAACCCACCTAAGGTTAGTGTTTAAGATAGTTAATAGCTTACCATCATTCTTTATTTTCTTCTATGCCAAGAAGCTCATTCATCACATAATCCCGTGGGGTGTGACTCCTAGAATGAAGTATAGATAGATTAGTAGTGATAACATTGCCCCGAAATCATATTTATTCACAAAAATTCCCACAAATTTCTCATTAAATTAACAACAAGAAATAAAATTGCTCCTTCATACTGCCTGTTTCGATATAATATAGCATGTTTTAAATAGTCCATGCCCTCAGAAACAAATTAAATGGAAAAGAAGCAGTGTTATCACATGAATAATCCACAATATCCCAACCTGAAGGCTTCAAACTCTTTCCTACCATCTGTAAACACACACACAAACACTTCATATCCTGACTTAGTTTATGCATGTTTAACTGAAACAAGTTTCATGAAGTAATACTTACCCCTGTTGTGTGAGGTATACTCTGATATTTCCTTCTCTATTCCACTATTTAAATGCTTCCACTGCACTGACGTATGACTCACTAATGAATCGCAACCCAGTACATGAAACACTGTGTAAACTCTTCTTAGGGATTTTCAAAAAGTGAGATGTTATCAGACTATCTTATTTACCGATTACATAAGACTCTCCACAGAACAGAACCTACTTTTCAGGGAACCTACTTAATGTGGCCAGATCTTTACTCAAAGGAATCCGAAGCAGAGACAGTGGACAGAACACAAAGGGGCAGGGAAATTGCTAAAAAGAATGGCCTGACCCTGTACGAAGAAGAGCCACTGAACACAGAAGAGCAAGCAGCAACTAGAACCGAACCTTCTGGGACGACCGCCAAGATCACACTTATCCTTTGTCAAGTGAATTTGCTCCTTTTAAATGCAGAGCCTCAAATGAAAACATATGCCCAAACAAAAACTAATATACAAGAATTCACAGCAATATTATTCATCATAGCTAGAAAGTGAAAACCACCAAAATGTCCGTCAGTTGATGGATTAAAAAAGTAGTATACACATACAATGGAATATTGTTTGGCCATTAAAAGAAAGAAGGGGTACACACAGGAACTTTCTGGGAGGTGGACATGTTCTACACTGGGACTGTGGCAGTGGTTCACAGCTATGTATAAAGTTGTGGATATTCAATAAACTGCCCACTTAAAAAGTGGGTGCACTTTTGTATGTAAATTATAGGACAATAAAATTAAATCAGAGAAAAGGGCACATACCTTGGGGGGAAATGAAGGCTATCCCCAACTTATAAAGTTGTTGGAAGGATTAAATGAGATACACGTACGCTGAAATAAGCATGAGACAGTGGGAAAGAGGGCACACTGATGTGGGATGGAATCCAATTTAGTCAATTTATTAGATACTAATTATATAGCCACAAACAAGTCATTTAATCCCTTGGAACTGAAGTTTTCTATTCTGTAAGGACAATAACATCTACTTTACATAGTTAAATGTAGCATACTAGACTACTGACCGGTTAAAACAATATCTGACACATACAGGTGCCCATATAATTTTTTTATACAATATATAAAACCAAGCACATAGTAAACACTCGGTAAATGTTATCCTTTTTTTCCCTTTTTCTTGTATGAGAGTTTTCTCTTCTACCACACCTTAAGAGCCTGAAGGAAAGGATAAATACCTGATCTTCTCTTTTGCCTACATAGAAATGGTAAGCACTCAACAAAGATAGTGAAGGAAAAGAAGTTGAATGGCTTGTTGATAAAGAGGGTTAAATGGGCAAAACAGAGAACTTGGGGGGCAATGAAAGCACTCTGTGTGATATTATAACGGTGAAGCCCTAGAAAAAACATTTTTAAAGTCTACATTTTACACCAAGGTTGGAGGTTTGATCCCCGTCAGGGCGCCGCATACGGGAATCAACAAATGAATGCATCAATAAGTTAGAACAACAGATTGATGTCTCTCTTCTCTCTCCCTCTCCCTGCTTCCTCTTTATCTCTAAAACACCAGTAAATTTAAAAAAAAAATTTAAACACTATATCCTTTGGACTGTGGTTACCAGTTATTTAAAAATGCATTTTTGTAGTAACATTGATTATGCTTTCAGGCACAACCCAGGTGAACTGACCTAAACCAGCAGGTGGTTAACTAGAGAAAATAAATAATTACAGCCCAATGGCGTGGAAAGAAGGAAGGATAGGAGCAAGGGTTTGTTGGGGGCTTGCTATGGGCCAGGAGAAGCTGTAAATGCTGAAATGACACCTCGTTTACTTACTATCACAAATGTATGAGGTGGAAAGTATTTTCCCTATTTTACGGAGGAGGAAATCAAGCACCAGAAAACTTAACCAACTGCCAAAGGACAGTTCATGGAGCTGGGATTCAAACTGAGAGCAGTCTGCTTTCAAAACCATCGAATAACACTTCCACAAAAACAACTTTCCAAATCATTACAAACTGGCTGTATGATTAAATCAAAGACTAATTCCTCACTGAGTATTTATTATTCAAACCATTTCACTATGTGGCATAAATCAACAGGCACCCAACACATTTTTTTGAGACAGTCAGTTAGGAGAAAAAAAAATACCAGGGACAGAGCAGAGGGGATAACGCTCAGACTACACATCTCAAGTCTGAAAGCTTAATCCCAGATCCACCATGTACCAGCAGGTGACGTGGGACAGAAAATAACCTGTCAGCCTCAGTTTCCCCGTTCATACCAGGGGCATATCGACCATCCCATGCTTCTGCCTTGGCCTGTCTATGAGCATGAAATAGCTAATGTTGGTGAAGCCGATATGTGAACTGTAACAAGCAGTAATATAATCAAGGAATTGCTATATAGTACGAGGTCTCCACGGAACCGCTATTTTTATGGAGAATCTCTGGGCACGAAGAGAAGGGGAATGCCACCCGCCGCAGGCAGCTGCTCTGAGGAAGCGGCGCGTCCCGGGAGCCCGGCGGCAGCAAGTGCTGCTCCAGGGCCGGTCTTCGGCCCGCTTTCTCACCACATGACGGGGGAAGGAGCAGGCGAGGTGCCGGGAGGGAGGCGCTGACAGGTGCGAGGCCCCGGTAGGTCTCATCTTTTGGGCCGCCGCTCCCGCCCTGCTTCCCCGCAGAGCGTAGGGAAAGCGCGGAAAACCCGCTGACAGGGAGCGGACGGCGGCCATCCTGTCAGCGTGGGGCCGGCGAGAAGGGTCCTCCGGAAAACCCTGGCCGAGGGGGACACTCCCAGAGCATGCCCCCTCGGCCCGTACACGTCGCCGCCCTGCCCGCCTGCCCCACAGGCTTCCCTGGACGACCCCCAGGCCCTCCCCAGCGGCCGGCTCCCCTCCCCCCGTCGCGCTCCCCGGCCCTCTCCGCCCGCACGCCAAGAGAAGGGGAGCGGTGGAAGAGCGTACCCCGCCGCCACGGCGCCCCATGGCCCCTCAAAGCACCCCGTCCGTCAGCGTCCCCGCCCGCCAGCGTCCCCGCCCAAGCCCGCCAGGTCTTCGGGACGCGCGCCCCAGCGAACACTCACCCCCGCCGCCCAGCGCAGCGCGGGCGACACCGAGCGTCCCGCCGGGAAAGGGGCGGGGCCGCTGCGGCGCACCACGTGACCCGCGATCCGGCCTCCCGCGCGCAGGCGCATCAGCCCGCGAGGAGGGGCCGCGGAGAATGGAGTTCTGCGCTGTGTTTGCACAGCCTCCACTGTCCACCTTGCGCGCGCTCTCCTACTTGGTCCCTTTCCGCTATCTCTTATCCCCACAGAGTCTCACCGAAGAAGAACCTGGGAACACGCCTCAGAACCCACGCAAGACTACTCTGGAAAGCTCTATTCGGCCCCTCCTGTGAGCCAGGCTCGCAGGGTGGAGTAGACACCCGACAAAACATACTTAAATCACAGTTCTGAACAAAAATTGTAGTCTAGATTCTAGGCCATAATTATCATCGTCATCCAAGTGGGAGTTCAGACGCTTCACTCTTCCCTCTCCCGTGTCACAACAGGTGGGAAGTCATAGAATCCAATGGAGACTACCTCACAATTGGACTGTCAGCGTGGTGAAAACTGTCAGTGGAAGGTCCTTTCACCAACTGTATGCCCACAGGAGTCCCCGGTTTAGTATGAAGTGATGTTATCGGTCGAGGCAACCCAGCTCTAGCCAGGTAAACCACTCTTCCACAGAAATTGAGAGTGTGCAGCTGTGTTGCGGCAGAGATGAAGCAGGTCTAGGTGGAGAACTGCCCGCCCTCGCCCCTGATTGGTCCATTTCTATAAAAATGGGCCCTGATTGGTCCATGGAGATGTAAGTGAGGCAGACGGCCGATTGCAACCTCAGTCCAATCAGTCCAATTTGATCCTAGCTCTTGTGTAAGAGTCCACTTGCAGGCAGGAGGTATGGCAGCCCAGTCTGTGGCTTTTCATTGAAATGCAGCCTGCCTTGATCGGGCACCTCTGCTAAGAGCGGTTATGAATTTGAGGCCAACTAACCAGGAGGAGTCATTACTGGCAAGTGTATTCTTTTCCATGTCGCATCAGAACCATATCCTTGGCTATGTTCTGGCTCCTCTCCCCTCTTTCCTTTTTAGGAAACTTACTCTTTCATTGATTTTATTTACAAAAAGCTTATTATGCACCTATCACATATCAGCTGCTGCTCTAGGTGCTTGGTATTAGTAAATAAACTAGATTTTAAAAATTCCTGCCTTCTTGGAGCTGGGTGGAGACAGACAATAAACAGTAAGCACAACAAGTTACCCGATAAGGTGGTAAGCACTACAGTAAACAAAATAAGGATCAGGAGAATGGAGTACAGGCTGCAGTTTAATAAAAGATAGCCAGGGCCTCATCCTCATCAGTTATCCCCTCCCCCTAACCCTGGAATGTTCACATCTCCCCAAACGATTAATAGATTAAACCAAGAAAATCCCTCGAGTTGTATGATTATTCAGTCTAAACTGTCCCTTCATTGACTGCCCTATAGTCGTCCATTCCTTTCCTCAAAGCTCCCTAGTTCTTGTAGTAATGTCAACAAATAGTTGCAGTAGACTGTGCTAATTGCTATAGCAGAGAAACAGAAAAAGCAAAATGACGGGACAAAGAGACCTAAGAGATCAGCAATTTTGGTGGCAGGAAGTTAGAAAAGTCATCTTTCAGGAAACACTTGTGCTGGATCTGGAAGGTTGAGTAGGAATTTGCTAGGGGGAAAAAAAGAAAAGTAAAAAAATTATGAGCCCCAGGCCCTGACCAGTTAGCTCCATTGGTTACAGCTTTGTCCTGAAGTTTGCAGGTGCGACCCCAATCAGGGCACATAGGAGACTCAATGCAGAACAGATTGATGTCTCTCTGTCTCTTTCCCTGTCTCTCTCAAAAATCAACATATTAAAAAATTTTAAGAATTTTTTAAAGTTTTGAGCTCCTTCTATGGGTCAGACACCTTACATGGAGTACTCCCCCCACAAAATTTATTAGACAGGTGTTATTATTTCATTTTTCACATAATTTTTTAAAAATGAAGTCATTCATTCAAAGTGTACAGCAGGTGAGCTAAGGAAACCGAGGATCCAAACATGTGTCTGTGTTCTTTCATGACACCATGCTATTGTACTTCCATTAGGACAGAAGGGCATGTGACCAATCGCTGTAAATACTGTATGATGCCATCTATATGAAGTTCAAGAACAGGCAAAACTTGTATTCTACTTGGTAAGGGTTTCCTAGGTCCTTACTAAGCTAGCTATTCTTTCCATGCAATTATCCTTTACATTTCTACTCACATGGATGTGAAGCTGACACCTCATCATATTTGTCTGAATGCATTATATTATTTAATCTTCACAACAACTCTTTAAGGTAGTCTTATCACTATGCCCATTTTTTAAACGAGCAAACAGATTTTCAAGGGCCAAGTAACTTGGCCAAGATGACAGACTCAGTCACAACTGAGCATCCAATACAAATATCTTGCTTGTTATGTGCGTGCGTTAGTTCATCCTACTTTGGTGAAATAAATCAGTAGAGATACATTGAATACTGAGAAATGGATACTGTCCGTTGGTTCTCCAGGGCAGATTTTTTTTCTAACAACTGTACCGTAGTTAGAATCTCCTGCCTTTTTCTCACTGAGGGTTAACCAGGACAGACTCGTGGAGCAGACCGGAGTTTCTGGCAGGAAACCGCGGGCCTTAGATCGGGCCGGGGTGCGGTAGGGGAAAGTCGTCCGCAGGGGTTCTCCCCGCCCACAGGGGCTCTCCCTTCCCGCGACTTGCCTCCCCAGCAGAAAGCAATTGGTGACCCGGACTGGCGCCCCGCCCCCTCCACTGGGGTTATATAAGCTTGGCCAAGGTGTCGGTACTGCGCAGTCGTGGCTCGAGCCTTGCTCGCGGGACTCAAGGAACGGCGCTACCGCCCCTCTGCGCTGCGTGCCCCCACGTACGCCGCGCCACCGAGCGCCGCCAGCCCCCGCCTCACCCAGTGTCCACGGCGGCCGGCGCGATGGGGCTGGGCTCGAGGCCCACAGCGCGTGGGATGCTGCTGCTGCTCCTCTGCGCCACGGCCGCTGCCGGGGACGCGCACGGCGAGCACCGCACAGACTATGACCGTGAGGCGCTGCTGGGTGGCCAGGTGAGGCGGCTGGGCCGGGGTCGGGGCCGGGAGGATGGCCTCGTTGGGTACCAGGCTGGGTCCTGGGCGGCCTGATCCTGGCACCCGGCGGGACGCCGGTCACTGGGGATCCCGAGGCCCAAACCCTCCTTTCTTCCACACAAGGCAGGGTTACCGAGGGTGTGGAAGGATAAGGGCCTTGGAGAGCAGGTTGAGTTGACTGGGAGGCGTCTGGTAGCCGTGTTTTGCTCCACCATTTTGCTCCACTGGTAGTAATGCTTGACCCCTGTGTATCGCTTACCCCCCAAAGGAAGAAGTCGACGAATATGTTAAACTCACCCCAGAGGAGCAACGCAAAAGGCTGAAGTCAATCATAAAGAAAATTGACTTGGACTCAGATGGCTTTCTCACGGAAAGTAAGGACGTCCTGCACAACTAACAATGGACACAGAAACACACATTTAGGAGGGGTGTCTGCTGAGGGCACAGTGCGAGTGTTCCCGCAAATTAGAAGTACTGTGAGAGGGGGAAAAGGACATAGTGAGTAGGTTTTATGCCAGGAAACATTTAGTTTTTACTTACTTTTATTTTTTAAATTAACTTATTGGGGCGACATTGGATAATGAGATTATATGGGTCTCACATGTACAATTCTGTATTACATCATCTGTATTGGATTGCGTGCCCACACCCACAGTGAAATCTTCCTTCACTATGTATTTCACCCCCTTTACCCTTAACTGTCCCCCCAAGTCCCTTCCCTGTGGTATACTTGGAAATCTTTAGACATAGGATACCCAGTAAAACTCAGTGCTTTCTTTAATAATAAATACACAGCACGGCCATACATGTATGTGCAGGTTATACCACGAGCAAACACCTTCTTCCTCATAGAACCTTCGTCTTTGTCAACAAATGATTCATCCTAGGGACAGGCTAAAAACCAACTCAAGGTGTTAAGTTATTGATTGCTCTTTTGGTACATTTTTTTTAGACGTATAAGAGTTTGCTTCTTTTCATAAACAAGTACAGAAAGACCTGTTGCGTGTGAATTATGTTTATCACAAATTATTACTGCTAGTCCGGACACTGGGGTCATCTTGTCCACCCTTCTTTGTAGAGATGAATAAATTGAAGTCCATGAATGCCCTTCTCAAATCTGTGGTAAAGCCAGGACTTAGAATCCAATCTTAATTCAGTTTTTAATGCCCTTTACTTAAAAAAAAAATCTCAGTGATCTTAAGTAGATTCTGTAGGCAGAAATGAAATGCACAGATTGTTAAAAGAATATTCAAAATAAATTGCTGTGTACCTGCCTCTCATTGCTTAATTCAAGTGATGAACCCTATCAACTTTCTAAGTTGATCCTGAACCAAAAAATAGGAGCTACTTTGCTGTAACCTATTTTCATGCAGCTCAGCATCTATGGAATGAAGTGACTGGAGAGAGAATTTCAGACTGAGAAATTTAAGATGGGTTGTCAGTAAAGTTTTCACACTGGTGCCTTTAGTTCGGAATATCGAGGTTTTGATTCTCTAGATTTACACAGCAAGAAAACCTTGAACTCTGTTACCCAACAAGAATGGGTCCATCTTTGGTTATACAAGGAAGCACGCACAACAGGTTGATTCGGCAGACTTGATGGTACCTGTCTATAAAGGCCTGCTATAATTAAATATTCAATAGCAAAGTTTTTTAGTCCTCACCCAAGGATATGTTTGTTGTTGTTGTTGTTGTTGTTTATTGAGTTTAGAGAGAGAGAGAGAATGTCAGTTGGTTGCCTCCTGCAGGCAAAGCGCACCCACCCCAGTTGGGGATCAACCTGCAACCCTTTGACATTCCAACCGGTTGAGCCACTTTGCTCCAGCAATAGTAACTTTAAAATTTTTAAAGTTAAAGGGGACTTAGTCCAAATGTTCATTTCACAGATAGCAAAACAAAAAACTCGAGAGTATTAACATCCCCTTACAGCAAAGCTGAAGCAAACTGTTTCCAGTTACCATTTCATTCTGCGTTTTCTTGGCCCTGATGAGCTCTTTAAAGAAACTAGACTAAATCCTCATTCTTGAGGATCCTTCAGGAGCGTCTGCTCATTTGCACTGTAAGGGCCAGGACTGGACTCAGGTTCTTGGGAGACAGCAAAGGTCAGTGGAAGGAGTTTAGGCTCTGAAGCCAAAGGTAGCCTTGAAGTGTGCACTGTGCTACTTAATAGCTGTGAGTCCTCAATTAGAAACCTGAATTTCCTGAGCTTTAAACTAGCAATTATAATTGCCTTGTTTCAGAGATCAGAGACAGTGTGTATAGATGGTGTATGGTATAGTCATCATTTAATACCTTTTAAACATCATTGATGTCTAAGTACTATTCTGTCCTGATGGAGAGTTTCAGGGGAGACAAAAAAGTGTCTACTTTTCCATTTGCCTGTCACCCCCGCAAACCAGTAGAGCAATACCACTCTTTCCACGGAATGGTATACTGCTGCTATCTTCGCAAATGTTTTTCTCCTCCCCTTTGTCTTTAATGCAGTAGAATAAGTAGCTCTATGAATACATTTTTAATAATTGATCTGAAAGTGGATATATGAGATTTAGAAACTTTCAGGTACAGACAGCTGTTGTAAGAAGGGCATAAATCACAATTGCTACCCATAATTTTGTTCCAGTTGCCTCTAAACGTTTGTGTCGTGGTTAAAGGAACATACTGCAACGGTTTTTTCTCAAGTATTTTTTCATGAATGAATTTAAATATATGTGTGTGCATTTAGGTCCATTTACACATTTTAGGTAGGTGGCCTTTGCAGGAAAGCAGGGGATGTGCGTGTGTCCCTGTGCCTCACTCAGGGTCTTTGCACAGGCCTTCCCCTCTCAGGGGTGACTGCCGCACCCTCACTTCCCCCCAGGGTGGCTTCTGGTTCTTCATTTCGAACGTGAAGTCCTTTCAGGCCAGCGCAGGCGATGGCCCCTCTTCCTCACGCCATCACACAGGTGCTGTGTGCCATCGTATTTGTTCATTGCAGGTTCATTTGCTCCGGTTCTGCCTTCCCTGGTGGCAGTGCCACTACAGGAGCCCTTTCCTAATGCCTGGGACTCAACGGGGTGGGTGAAAAATGTGACCAAACTTCAGTCACTTGAATTATCTTTTTACAGTTTAGGCCTTGTCTACTTACCATCTATTTGGTCCTTAGTACTGTTTGGCTTCAACTCGATGTTAAACTTATTTTAAAGGAAAATTTCATGTTTTCATAAATGGAAAACACTTTTTTTCTAACGCATATTTTAATAGCTAATTACTTGAAGATTTGTGCTTCCCGAGATGATTGTAATAGCAAAGGTATTTGCAGTTTTATGGGTAATTTTTTTTACAAAGTCAAGTGCTCTTCTGGCCAATTGCTAATTCATTTAATAAGGACGTACGAAGCCAGGGGCTTCCTCAGCATTTGGAGATCCGCAGCGAACAAATCACACAAACGCTCTGAACTGAATGGGCTGACCTAGTAAGTGTGATCCTTTGGAGTCTTAGACTCCAGCAGGTCCTCCCACTTCCTACTCCAGTTTCTATGAATACAACTAAGCCAGTTCTCATTCAGCCTTTGCAAACACTATTTTTATTCTTTGAGAGAAGGTTTAGAAATCCTCTGCGTGTGACAGTTATTGCTGATGTTTACTGTGCTCTGGGAAATTCGCACAGGTGAACTCAGCTCGTGGATTCAGATGTCTTTTAAACACTATGCTATGCAAGAAGCAAAGCAGCAGTTTGTCGAATATGACAAAAACAGTGATGGTGCCGTGTCCTGGGATGAGTACAACATCCAGATGTATGATCGTGTCATCGACTTTGATGAGAACACAGCTCTGGATGATGCGGAAGAGGAGTCCTTCAGGCAGGTGAGCGCGTGTGCACGAGCTACTCCGGCTTCCCGAGTGAAGGAGCGCAGAGGGCTGAGGTCCTCGGCTGCACTGCCTGGTCCTCCAGGCCGCCAGTCACCTGCTCAACCTCATGGTCAGTGTGGCAGTTACCTTTCAAGCCAGGTTTAGTGCCCGTATAGCAGTCTGTGTCACCCTCATATCTCTTACCATTTGTACCATTTGTCCTCATTTCCAGAATTGGTGTTTTGTGTCTGTATGTGTTTTGGATGCGCATCTCAATATTTTATTTTTTATGTTATTGAACAATCGGTTGTATGTCGTATTTACTAAGACGAAAGATTACAGGAGGCCCATTTCCATATTTAAGCACGTACTTTTACATAAATCAACTCTTTCAAAAAAATGTTTCCGCATTGCGGTCCACTCCATAGACTGTAACGCTTACCGTGCGAACCGTTTCTCAGTGTGCGTGTGAGCAGTGTTGCAGGCACTCACGTCGCTGCGCCATTGGCCTGCAGAACTCTTAGTGCCTGACGCATACGTGATGCCAGCAAGCTTTGAGATGTGCCCACCTAAGAGGTGGCCTCCTTTGAATGTATAAACATACCTTTAGAAACATCATTCAAGTTCTGACACTCTTCTAAAGCCAAACCATCACGTGATGTTACAACTTCCCTGCCCGGGAACAGCAGAGAAGTTAAATCCAATATTTGAAAATCTTGCTGTTCTTAGATTCTACTTGTGTTTTTTTTTATTTTTTTTTTCCTCTTGGCATCCAAAAGACTTGATCACTCTCCCATCAAAATATAAGAATGTATTTTTGTTTTTTAAATCTATTCTTAAGAGGGTATGAAGTGATAGATTATGGTGTTGAGAAGAAAATGTTCACCTTGAAGAGATACATGATTAATTAACACAAACCACTTGTTTTTTCTTTGCAACGATGTCTGCCCATCCTGCAGTGCCCCCCAACCCCCCACCCTTGTGCACTCAGGGCAGGCCGAGCCTCAGGCTCTACCTTTGCGAAATGAGTTGGATGGAGTTTAAGAACCGAAAGGAAGAGGGTCTCTGCAGTGAACACTTCTCAGTAGGGAAGTGTGACGACCCAGGAATATGTCTCTACCTGAAGTTTAAATCATAATACTGTATTAGAATTTGATATAATTCTCCAAAAATGGATCTGGGGTGTAAAGATGAACTCAGCAACAGTTGTGTTATTCTCCAAAGGAAAAACTCAAGGATGAAGAATGAGTCAGTCGTCAGGTTACAGACTAAACATTATACCATGAATAAATCATAAAAACTAATGGAATAGGTAAATCTTTTCTATATGGAAGTCTATTAAAAACAAAAATCAGTTGGATACCTGAATTTTATCTTTTATTTTTACTCTTTGCATATAGAGAATAGAGATAATCTGGAATTATGGCCCTCCTGGGCTGTGAAATGCCAAGACAAGTGTGTCTTTATGATTGAGGAACAAGTATTGTCAGTAGTTTTAACGGGATAATTAAAGTCTGGGGACCTATCTGGCCAGAGCTCAGTCCCTCTAACTTCTAAAGTGTGTGTACCAGCAACATTCGTTTATGTGGGATACAGCCTTGTGTGGGCGAGTCAGGACTTTTAGAACCTAGGCTTTGGTTCTAGTGTCACAAGTTACACAGTCCTTCGTGGAGAAGCATCAGTCCACCAAACATGGCAAAGGTGTTCTTCCCAAGCTTCTGGTACAATATGAAAACAAATGATGATTGGTAATTAAATCTTTTTACTACTGTATAAATAATGTTTTCTATCATCCCGTAGAGTACAAGGTTTTCATACAGAAGCAGAGAGTGTCGAGTTGTTAGGAGGCAGAGTCTGTCGTGTTACTGTCTTTTCAGAAGTTGGCCACTTTGGAAAAGCAGTAACTGCGTGCATTGGCCCCTTAAATATGAGTTTCATGTAGATTGTGTTCTTCAGATGACCATGAGTGAAAGCGCTTTCAGAGATCGCATTATTTTGATTTATGTAAGTAATCTGAGAAATATGAGGTAGGATATTATTTGTGGGGTTTTTTTTATGAATTCTCAGTTTATTGAAAGAGATCCTTTCTTCATAGGCAAATTGGCCAAATTCCACTCCTGCTGAAACATGTACGTCTAGGCTCCGAACTGAAGCATTCTTTCATAGGGAAATCCAGGCACTTAGTGTTTTGAAGAGAGGTTTATTTAGAAAGAAGTTGATTGACTCAACAAAAGTACATCAGGTTCTTGTTTGTCTGCTTTTCCCTGTGTGAAACCTGAATGTAAAATGTAAATTATGTCTAGTTATTTAAAAATATGAAACATTAAAGTTAAAGGCAGCTGTTGAGAAGTAGGTAAGTGTAACTAACTGACCAATGGATTCTGAATGTTTGAAAGATGAATTCTTTTGGGGAAGAAGTGAACATCTATGTAAATCAGTTGTCATAGAAGAAATGTTTCAGTAATGAAAGTTACCTAATTCCTAGAAATTGGAGAAGAGCATTTCTTTTTAACAGTGAAACACATGAATTAAAAGTTTCTAAAATATTTCAAATTGAGCTTTTTAAAAATACATAGTTTAATACATGTAAGTTTACAGAAGGAAAAGGTATTCACAGAAGTTCTCAGAAAAGAATTAATGCAGGACTAGCAATATAGGACTATTGGTTTCCAAGCCTCTTGATTACAGAATTAGCTGTGAGAAATTAAGAGTTGTCTTCTCCCGGACACTTGAGTGCACTTTGTTAGGAAAAGGAAGATGGAGCCCTCGCCATGTCCTCAGCGGGTTAGAGCATCGTCCCCATCGCTTTTCATTTTGTTAATGGTTTCTGCTGTGCAGACGCTGTTTACTAATAGTTCTATATAGTCACGCATTTATCTTTTGCTCTTGGTGTCAGAGTGTCCCAAAGTTACCACGTGGAAACCAGCGACACTCAGCAGTTTGCCTTCGGTAGCACAGCTGGTGCGCAGTGATGCCGCAGTTCCCATCTGCGTCTCTCTCACTCTGGAACCCGCTGCTCTGTGCTTTGCATAGACGTTATGGGCCCAGCAACCTTCAAAGGGATGATGTGAAGATAAAATAATGTATGAAAATGTCCTTTAGAGTTACGTCGTTTGTATTTTCAGAGTACTGTTTACGGTGGTATTTTATGGTGATACCTTTAAACATGTTCAATATTTAATTTTCCAAGCTTCATTTAAAGGACAAGAAACGATTTGAAAAAGCTAACCAGGATGTAGATCCTGCTTTGAATCTTGAAGAATTTATTGCTTTCGAGCATCCTGAAGAAGTTGATTATATGAAGGTAAGGAAGAAAAATTTTAAGAGAACTATTGAGCGACCAGAACTTTAAAGCCTGTTTTTACTAAATCATTAAAATGAATTGTATAGCAACCAGAATTTTAAGAGACCGGAAGATCCCAGGTTCTCCCTGCTTTAGATTAGGCCTGGGAAGGAGGGTCCTGGGGGTTGGTTGCTTAGTGGGAGGGAGGAGGTAAAGGACTGAGTTATTTTTTTTTTTAACCTCTGTAATATATGAGCATTACTCTTCCTCTGACTTGCAGATTTTCTGTGGTTTTTCAGTATTAGTAACACTAAAACCTCCTATTTTGTTTATATCAGTTGCGAAAGCTTTCAGTCTTTGAAAACACATCAGCCCTTGCTGGTGTCGCTCAGTGGATGGACTGTCAGCTTGCAAACCCAAAGGGTCGCCGGTTCGATTCCCAGTCAGGGCAAGTGCTTGGGTTGCAGGTCAGGTCCCCAGTAGGGGGCGTGTGAGGCAACCCACTGATATATATCTTGCATGTGGATATTTCTCTCCCTCTCTTTCCCTCTCTCCAAAAATAAATAAAATCTTAAAAAAAAAAGAAAATATCACCTTTGCATCTCTTTTCATGGAGGGGGCAGAGGTGCAGGCACAGCTGTGAATAACTAGTACTGTTTTCGCTACGTTGGGCGTAGAGAGCCCTGCTGTCACCTTGGCAGCAGCTTGTGGCACTCTAGGTTTAACTCGACAAACCTAGAGTTAAACTGAACTCTAGGTTTAACTGAGTCCTTCTGTGACTTGGCAAGCTTCTTGAGCGCATATTGGGGAGTAGAGATTAAAATAACAAAATAGCTCTAAAAATCAGACTCAGTGGTTGTATCGAGGTCTGTTGCCTGGCATCAGCCTCCAGCTCTGTGGCTTTGCGCTCAGGACGTTTTGGGTCGGAGCGGGGCCGCTGCTTCATCGTCATGGACAGATGCCGCTGCTGCCAGCACCAAGGCCGTGCGGACATGTCTCCCCACAGCTCAGTGCAGCACCGTTAGCACAGCTTCTCTCGCCATTGTGAGGCATCTGACTTCTCACTTGGCACAAAGTACATGACCCAGTTTAAGAACAGTACTGGGCACCATTTGATTAAGTGCCAAAATCCAGTGGAGACAAGCGACCTGGCTGAGGGTGCTGGCCCTTGTCTCTGGGAACTTAGGAGCATTGAAGGTTGAGAAAGGGGATGCCCGGTGACAGCCGTGAAATAACGTAGGTGTTATGTGCTTTGGTCTGGAATTTGGTCACAGTCTGAAGAAAGTAAACAGGAGCATTGACTAAGTGTGGGCAGAGGAGAAACCAGCAACTTGTATTTAAGTATTATTTCCCACACGTGCCCGTGAAGCCTCTGGATTTGGCTAGAATGGGACGCTTTGAAGAATTTGTTTTCATTGCCGTTGTGCTCGGGTCCAGAAAGAAAGGAATGCGAACAGCAGCGCCAGGCTGTGAGAGCCTAGGCGAGGAAGACTAGAATCCGAGATAGCTTACAGCACCGCGCAGTCTGGGGACTTGAAAGCACAGGAGGAGGAGCTGGTAGAGGAGAGGGAGGCTTTGGGAGGCCGGAGGTAAATGAGAAAAAGCGCTCAGGAAGTGGCTGCGGATGGGGTCTGCGGGCAGGTGAGGGCCCTGCCCTGGCTGAGAGGAGAATGAGGGGAACAAGCATAAAACAGCAGTGATTACAAGTGAGGGCAGTAAACAAGCAGGCATTTAAGAAGAATTGTACTGTGTGTAGAAACCTCTAGGGGAGGGTCTTTGCCAAGAGGTACTGAATATTTGGTGACTCGTTCGTGTTTCTGAACTTGTCTCGTTCGTGTTTCTGAACTCCCCTGGTCATAAGCACAGGCGATCAGAATGGTTTTTCCTGAGGAGATTCTGCAGCAGGAGTGACTCAGATGGGGGGAACACTGGAAGTTTTGTCACTCATTTATTTTATGCAACAGGAATTTGTCATTCAAGAGGCTTTGGAAGAACATGACAAAAATGGTGATGGATTTGTTAGCTTGGAAGAATTTCTTGGGGACTACAGGCGGGATCCAGGTAAGGAGCCTGGGGGTTGTGTGAGGAAGGGCAGAGGGACAAACGGAAGTAATGAAGGAAAAACAAGAAGCGCTTGGCCTGGTTTTGACCTGTTCTGCCAACTTCAGTACAACATGGGTACGACAGAGGGACTCCCCGGATCTGAGGATGCTGTCCTGCCAGAGTCCCAGGTCTGGGCTCCCACACGCCTCCATTTTCAGACAAATACAGTGTTGTCATGAAATCAGTGATGGAGGAAGTAAAGGCTAGTATCTTCACACGAAATCTTGCATCTTTGCATGTAGATCTTGACGTGGAAATAACAAAATAAACACTGGTGTAGATTGTGGAAGGTGACTGCTGACCGTTTAAAATTGGGAGTTGGTCCACGCAGCCTTTTCTGTGAACAGCTGTCCTTTTTCCCAAGTTGTGTGAAAGCGCCCCTTGCTGTGAATGCCACTTTACAGTACATGTGGTATTACTCTGCTGGAACACAGGATGCTCTGTGTAGTCATATGATAAACGAAAGCATCACTCAGATCAAATTTGGGAAAACCAGGTATCAGAACGAGCAGCAGCAGTGACCACGACCGCTCGTTTGAGGTGTGCTCTGCCGCAGTGTGAAAACTCGGAGTCATTTGTACCCGTGTGTCACTTTTTGAAAATTACAAAATGTAGTTTGTACTTGAGCACTTTTTGTTAAGTATTTCTGTTTCGTTGGGCAATCTTTATTCTAGGGATGTATCAAACTTCTTATGCGTTATTCTTGTGAATGTTTATGTTTCTTATTGTTTTAATATTAAGCTGCAAATGAAGATCCGGAGTGGATACTTGTTGAGAAAGATCGATTCCTGAACGATTATGACAAAGATGCCGACGGCAGGCTGGATCCTCAGGAGCTGCTGTCCTGGGTGGTGCCCAACAACCAGGGCATAGCCCAGGAAGAGGTGAGTGTTCCAGAGTGATGACCTCCCCCTGCATATGTGGTGCTATTGGTAAGAAAGGAAGTTTACAATTTTAAGCCAAAGAAAGAAGTAATTGAGTTATGTATGAGGGAGGACCCCCCCCCCAAAAAAAAACTGTAATCCTCTTCTGGAGGGCGGGCTCCTTTTAAGTACACGCTTCCTTGCTGGCTGAGTGCTCTAGGAAACCATCTGGATCAATGCGCCAGCTGGTGGTGTTGTGAGAGGCTGCATCTGACCTCAGTGAATTCTTTTTGAAGACTCTAAACGAGTTTGCCCATTTAATGATGGGTGATTTCCGAGCGCACCTGTCCATACCACGCTGTGTTTATCAGTTTTTGCTGAAAAATGGCATGACACTCATGCCTCACCCTCCCTATTCACCTGATCTCGCCAGAGTGACTTTTTTTTTGTTTACCCTAATGAAGAAAGTCCTCAAAAGGAAACATTTTGCCGATGTGGAAGAGGTAAAACAAAAAACGGAAGCACTAAAAGGCATCAAAATCGACGAGTTCAAAAACTGTTTTGAGCTGTAGAAAAACATCTCATTAGGTGTGCTGCATCCAGCAGAGTGTATTGAAGGGGACTGAAGTTTAAACATGTAAGAATAAATACACAATTTTTATATTTTGTTCAGTTTGGGGGGTCCCCCCTCATAGTTAGGACCAAGCTATTGCTGTATCTTAATTTAAATCTGTGAACTGGTTTAGATGGTCAAGGAGCAAGGAAGTTGAGATTGTATCGTGTATTAATTTGATAGGGCAGTGAGTAGAACAGAATTTCCATTTTTACTTAGAGGGGCTCAAAATGGGTTATATTTATTTTACTTGAATTTGAGATATCCTGAATTGGATTTGAGTTGAGAAAAGGAGGCAGAACCAGCAGAAATCAAGGAAGAACATCATAGAGAAGCCAGAGGCAGACCTGCCTGCAGTGTGTGGTGTCGTAGCTGTGGAGACAGTACCGAGTGCGTGACCTTCCGGTCGCGGATTCTTAACTTCTGTTGGTCACGGGCTCCTTCAGAAGCATGGCGCAAACTAAATGAAGAAACACACGAATGGTTCTTACAACTCAAATTCCATTAAAATGTGAACCCCTCCCTCATACAAGAAAAGACCTACTCCACTCGACACCTTTTGTTCCATGTTACAGGCTCTTCATCTGATCGATGAGATGGACCTGGACAGTGACAGGAAGCTCTCCGAGGCCGAGATTCTGGAGAACCAGGACTTGTTCCTCACCAGTGAAGCCACAGATTACGGCCGACAGCTTCATGACGAGTATTTCTATCACGATGAGCTGTAGTCGCTGGGTGTGTCTGAGTAGCGTGCTGGATCCTTTTATAAATTTGTTACCAGTGTTACTTTTGGGATAAAAGATTCATGAGGTTATTTTCCACTCAGAAGTCTTACCACAGTCCAGTGTATCTGACTTTTTGCCTTTTAGGAAGAAAACAAAACCAAACTCTGATACTGACTTCAAAATGTATTGAAGAAATAAACCAATGTTGTGCCATATGACAGCAGACCCTTCCTTAAAGACGCCGTCTGTTTAGTACTGTGCTGTGGAGTATTTTGAGTTCTATTTCCACACTTGAAAAAATGGGAGATTGTAGAGATGCCTGAACAATATTACAGGAGTATGTGATCGAGCTATCGATTTTGTTTAAGTAGCATTAAATTGGGCACTGACCAGAGGACATCATTTTTAGATTTAGCATTTTGTTTTAAAACCTTTAAAGGAACCTACAGAAGGACTTATACCTCGCATATAAGTTGAGAAGTTCTGCTTAGTTTTAAAATGGTTTCTATAAAGGGTTTTATTGTATGAAATAGAACTTTATATTTTTGCATATGTATAGATGGTAATTATATTTAATGTGTAACTGTAGTCTGTTGTGTGTTGAACTTGATATTGTCTGGAACTCTTCTCTTTTCACTGATTAAAAATGAAATGTTCTATCTTTTTAAATGTTTGCTTTTAACTTCCTGGTAAACCCATTTCGAGCACAGCTTCTGTTGTATTTTGCATCCTCCTGCTTCATCCATTCCCGTATTTGGGTAGTGAGTGTTCTAAAATTCTGTTAAATTATTCTTGTTCCATATTCTTGTTTTGCTTTTTTTTTAATAAAAGAATATTACACTTGACTGTACACCTGATATATTTCAGTTTCTGTTGTAGCAAATGTGGCCTTGCTATTTGGGAGCAGAAGTAATTGTAAGAGTTTCACTGGCTGAAATCACCAGCACAGCTCAGGGTCAGTCACACTGTCGCATTTGACGAGCACTTCTGCACACCTACCTGGTCAGTTTTGCACCTTCCTTGGTAGGTAGGTCAGGTTAGTATGTGTGGGGGGAGTAAAGACTCTGGAGAAGGTGAGGAATTCACGTTTCCCTAACTCTCACCCACAGACAGTACTTCTTTTTCCTTAAATGTTTTTATTCTGTTAATAGTTTCCTGATGACAGTTGACAGTTGTCTCCAACAGAGCTCACATGTTCAGGGAGCGCAAGTCCTGGGGGGTGACAGAGAAGCCCGGACATCAAAATGTCCATTCTGCCCAAAGCAATTTATAGTTTCCACACAATCCCTATTAAAGTACCAATGACATGTTTCACAGATATAGAACAAACATTTCAAAAATTTATATAGAACCATAAATGACCGTGAATAGCCAAAGCAATTTTGAGGAAGAACAACAAAGTAGGAGGGATCACAATACTTGGTATCAGACTATACTACAAGCCCATGATAATCAGAACAGTCGGGTACTGGCATAAGATCAGACATAGATCAATGGAACAGAACGGAGAGCCCAGAAATAAACTCAAGTCCCTATGGTCAATTAATATTTGACAAAGGGGACAGGAGCATATAATGGAGTGAAAATAGTGTCTTCAACAAATGGTGTGGGAAGATCTGGACAGGTACATGCTAAAAAATGAAACGACCTCCAACTTACACCTTACACAATAATACTCTCTATATGGATAAAGGCTTAAATAAGTCACAACACCATAAAAGTCCTAGAGGAGAACATAGGCAGGAAAATCTCGGACGTTCCCTGCCGCAATATTTTCACCCATATGTCCCCTAGAGCAAGGGATATAAAGCAAAGAATAAACAAATGGGATCTCATCAAAATAAAAAGCTTCTGCACGGCTAAGGAAAACATCAGCAAAATGAAAAGGGAACCAACCGTATGGGAAAATATATTTGCCAATGATACCTCAGACAAGGGTTTGATCTCCCAAATATATAAAGAACTCACACAACCCCACACCAAGAAAGCAATCCAAGTGAAAAATGGGCAAAGGGCCTGAACAGACACTTCTCCAAGGAGGACGTATGGAGGGCCCATGGACGGATGAGAAATGGTCCGCATCGCTGGCCACCAGAGAGATGCACGCTAAAACCACAATGAGATACCGCTTCGCACGGGTCAGAATGGCCATCACAAACAAAGCCACAAGCAACAAGCGGTGGCGAGGCTGTGGGGAGAAGGGAACCCCAGTGTACCACTGGGGGAACGCAGACTGGGGCAGCCTGGGGGAGCTGCTCTGACCATCTGTCATTCAAGACATTCATGCATCAGGAGCTCCCGCAGCTGGAATCCTAAGATAAAACCCAGAGAATAGCATCTTCTTAGGAATTTGCATAAAAATATGAAACCAGGTCAAGAACAGCACGTGTGAGTTATTCTGACCCAGCTCTGCATTGATCAGCAGGTGGGAAAGACTGGGTTAGCCGATCACAGTGCAGCCTTTCAATGGTGCAGAGGCCATTCTCATCGTATTAAAACCAATGTGGCTGTATTAATATTTAAAACAGTCTTTAAGGCATTACTGAAGGTGAGGAGATATTAGCTGCACGCAAAATTTAAAACTGTTAAGTTTCCTTCAAAATATATAACTAAATCTCATACCACATGAATGGAAATTGGGAAGTTTATCATCAGAGCAGGAGATGTTAACATCTTTCAGTAATTGGCAGATTGAAAAGAAAAACCAAGAAACATGTAAAAGATCTGACCCACACAGGTAGCTACATGTACCTCACAGATACAGAACCAAAAGCATATTTTGATTCCCAGTCTGGAACAATTCCAAAATTGACATTATCATCTTCGAAGCCCATCAAATTCAGAAGGACTCATCCAATTATCGTAAGTTACCTTTCTCAAGTTGGCCAAGAAAAGTAGAAAAAGTCTATTTAAATATTTAGAAGCACAATGAGTGTGAAAAAACTCTGTTATTTATTTACAACACACTGGGTTTGTCTCCTCACCACTCGAATACGTGATGAGAACGATTCACAGTGAAGCGCATTCTGGAGACTATTTGGGGGAAATAAACAATTCACTGATCTTATAACAGCAGCTGGAATTAAATACCTGACTTCTCTGTGCTTGTAAGTTGTGTGTCCACTTTGTAGTGGACAAGTAACATGTACTTGAAGCATTCTGTACACACTAAAACACCTTCCACACAGGAAAAGAAACCAGCAACAAAATGAAAAGGCAGCGAACAGAGTGGGAGCGGTTACCTGCAAACTCTGAGAAAGGCCAAGATGTGCACAGAACACCCCGGCAGCCTCGCCTGCACCGGGGGCTCACCCAGCTGCCCCCACTCACTGCCAAGATCCACTTGCACAACGCAGACATTCTTTGTTAAAGACACAAACAGAAACACTACGAATACGGCTATTCCCTTCTTCTGATGCACTGATTACAGTCTAATGTTTAGGCAAAAACGAAACTTCATGCTCTTAGGCGTCCAAGTCTGGTTAGCCTTTGTCAGTGTCACCAGCTCCCAGGAGGAAGTCCCAAGAGCCAAGGGGGTGCTGAGGCTGTGTCTTCCCGAGGAAGGGGGAGCTGGTGAGGCACAGCTGCCAGGAGCACAGGGTGAGCTGCGGTGAGAGGAGCCCCCGTTTGACCTGAGATGCAGGGAGGACAGCTGGGGGGGCGCTTCAGACCACATGGGGGCGCATTCTGAGAAGACCTGGGGAACCCCGCACGGCGGCCCTGCGCCACCCAGCGGCAAGGCCATTGGAGGGGGTCTCAGTGCGGCCTTCGCCCTTGTGACGTGGTCTGTGTTCCTGGCGCGCACTTGTTGCAAGAAGGACCTCTGTGCTTGAAAAGTGGCCCTGTCCTGGATACCTGTCCTTTCACGTGGAGGGAGCCGAGTCTGCGGCTCTGAACAGCAAATGCCCCAGTTAATGTAGCCGAACCAGGAGCACAACTGCGACCCTTAACTGCGCACCCAGCCTTGGAATCACCTGGGGGATTGGGGGGTTGGGGGTTAAACCATTGATGGCTGTGTCCTCAGTCCCAGAAGCTGCCTGCTGATGTGGAGTGCCGCCTGGTCTCCCCACGGCCTGAAGAACAAGCAAGGAGGACAGACCTGTCGTCTCACTGTTTGGGAGGCTGTGGTTGTGGCTTTGGTTTGCATGCCACACACGCCCGAGGTCCGTTTAACGCAGCAGATGCCGGGCTCATTCCAGACTAGAGGCTCAGGAGGGGCCGGGACGTCCGGGTTTTTCCTCTATAAGAACTCTGACTTCTCCAACTGTGAGTTCAGACAAAGGACCCCTCTCACGTCAGGGTGTCTCCGGCCTGCAGGACAGCAGAATTACACGGTGACACTGCACAGGCCTGGACCTTCGGCAGGAACCCTTGTCCCTGCACGTGGGGGGCGGGGGCTGGGGAGACATCGGTGCTTTAAACCTTCCCCGAGCGATTTAAATACACAGCGGGTCCCCGTCTGCCACGGCAGGAGGGAGTGGAGACAGGTGACTTTACAGAGCTCAGTGAAGAAAGAACCACATGCCTTACTTCTCTATAAGCCACCTAGAGTCTGAAGATGAACAAACCAGAGAGAATGAGACCCCGGTCTGCCCAACACCGACACCAGGACGCAGCTGGATCCCCGCCCTGCCCAGGAGAGGGCGCTGCAGGGGGTGCACAGGCCCTGCTGGGAGGGGACAGTATCTCCCCAGCTCTGCTCCCCCCCTGTGGCAACGCCCGGGGCCTGTGCTCTCCGGTGGGTTTCACGAGCTGCAAAGTGGGTCCCTGGCCTTTCCTGCCTGAAGCAAGATGGTCTCTCAGGAGCCCTGGGGCAGCTGGAACTGCCGGCAGCTTGGATGGAAAACGGAATAAAACAAGATGGGAAACCAAAGACACGTGAAGGCATTCTCTCCCGCCCCCTGCCTCTCTGCCATTCGCCTGCCCAGTTACCTGCCTGATTAAGAGGGATTTGGGGGTGATGTGCACACGGACAAGGTGCACGGGTGCAACAGAGCAACCACGCTTTGGGAGGGGGGTTCCTCCTTTCTCAAGCTGCCTGCCACATACTGGACCCCGAGAAACGGGGCCCCGGGGACATTTCCGACAGAGCAATGCCCTCCGTTCCCAGACAGTGTCTGCTCCACAGCCCACCCACTCCCTGTGCCAGCAGACAGGAAGGTCTCTATCCTCCCTTCTGAAGCTGCACCCCAAAGCCCACCCTCAACTGCTAATCCTGTGCCTCTGCGATGCAGGACTCACGCAGAGTGTCGATGGCCCCCAGAACTCCACACGGTCCCACAAAAACGTCTGCCCCAAAGCCTCAAGGCCCCAATGAAGGGCCAGTCACAGGAGCACAGTCGGTGCCAGTTGGGCTAGTGTCCCTCTGGCATTTTAGTGCATGTCATACCAGATGCAACCCCCCAGTCCCCTGGGGCTGGACCGTGAGGGGAGAAAGCTGTTTGTCCTGATTCCCCCAGGTCACTGTGTGGCACCAGGTCCCACCTGTGCGCAATCTCTTTCTGCCTAGGAGACAGCAAGCATGCACTGGGTCTCCATCCTCTCTTTTTCGTTGGTCCCAGGGACTCTGGTCTGTGCAGCTGGGGGAAAGAGGGGACTCTCTGGGCCAAAGTCCCCGCCACAGGAGGACTCAGGGGACATGCTTCCACATGTCACCAGAAACTATCCGGAGAAGGAAGGTGGGCGCCTGATGCTCAGCCCCATCCTCCCCTCACCCGTCCATCCCCAGGAAGAGGCAGGAAGGCGGCCGATGGACTGACCCAGGTGCGCAGGCAGCTGTTGATGGGGTAGCAACGGGCAGACCCAGTGAAAGCGCGAGGCAGTAGGGTGACTGCAGTCACACATTCACTC